TAAATGAGGCTACCTCCCCTTCTGATAGTATGTTAAAGAGGCCACCTCCCCTTCTGATAGTAGTTAATGAGGCTACCTCCCCTTCTGATAGAATGTAAATGAGGCTACCTCCCCTTCTGATAGTATGTTGATGAGGCCTCCTCACCTTCTGATAGTATGTAAATGAGGCCACCTCCCCTTCTGATAGTATGTAAATCAGGCTACCTCCCCTTCTGATAGTATGTTAATGAGGCCACCTCCCCTTCTGATAGTATGTAAATCAGGCTACCTCCCCTTCTGATAGTATGTTAATGAGGCTACCTCCCCTTCTGATAGGATGTAAATGAGGCTACCTCCCCTTCTGATAGCATGTAAATGAGGCTACCTCCCCTTCTGATAGCATGTAAATGAGGCTACCTCCCCTTCTGATAGTATGTTAATGAGGCTACCTCCCCATTCTGACATCAAAGTATTGAGGTTACCTCCTCTTCTAATTGTACAGTATTCAGGTTATCTCCCTTCCTGACAATTACGTAGAGTAAGGTGATCTCTCTTACATATTCACCTACATTAGTCTTAAATACTAGGTAACCTTTATGTAATATGTTTCCTAGGTAGCCCGATTAAACAGGTTCATCTGACCAATATGCTGTTCCCCGTAGAGTGTCAGATTAGACTATATATGATTTCAGTAGCATGGCCCCCCCCCTCCCCCCTAACTTATATGAATGTTAAGTGCCATAGAGTGTTTTTCTTTACACATTGTATTATACATGTAATGATAAAAAACTTACAATTCAGACAAATATTTTGTCCCAAGTTAGTTTGACCTTTGTCTTTTGTTTGACCACAGCTGACAATGATGGACCAATTCTTACAGCCCAATGGAATGTCACAACTTCTGTTCTACTACCAAGAACCAGAGGAAAAGGAGAGTGGTGAGTAACAATCAAGGGAGATTACTCCATGCAGGGAAGGTGTCACACCAGTAAAGTTGTCACCATGAGCAAAGTGTAACACCAGAAATAAATTCAGAACATTAAGATTTTACCTAGAAGTTGATTTACCTTTTTTTTTACTGTGTGTCCCATTTTTTTACCTTTAAAGTTATACTAACATCTAAACAAGGCATCTCCAAGTCCCCCTGGACTCTTCTCTGTCCCTGTCAGTGTCCTTTGTAATCCCTTTTGACCCATACATGACCTTCCTGACCTCTTCCCTGGAACATTTTGAAATGGATGTAGTTTGGTGTGAATCTGTTGTGCCTGTTGCCCTGCCCCTGTCCCTGTCCCTGTCCCTGTCCCTGCCCCTGTCCCTGCTCCTGCCCCTGCCCCTGCCCCTGCCCCTGCCCCTGTCCCTGTCTCTTTCTATTTCATTTCGTGATTTGTAAGATGTGTGTGTTTTAGGCCAATTACCCCACAGAACAAATATAGAGTATTTTAAATACAAATGAAGTCACTGTTGTTTTGATAACTATTCCTGTATATGTTATTTTGTTATATTATCTACTAACATGTTTTCACAACATACCCCTTCTTTTTATCTCTAGACTTAAAAAGCCTGGCTTTAGACCAGGAAGCTATGTATGAAATAGTCGATACATATCAAGAAAGACAAGGATTAGTACGTTTTTGTAGTTTATAGACGTAGCTACTGGTAATAACATATAAACACGAAATGTTTAAAATCACTTTGAAGTTATAGAATTGAGGTTTAACAGGGTACACCATTATCAACATTTGGAAGATGAAATGTACCTTAACCAACTTTAAAAAACTGTTTTGTAGATAATCTATTATTTCAAGCACTGACTTGTCATGGTTAGAAATCAATTTAGATGATATATAATTAAATGCAGGACAATAATTTACAAGCTCTATTTTCGTATATATAGCATATACTGTTTCATCGGCCTGTAACACAATGCTAAAAACACGAGATTAATTGGTTCTGGTGTATATGTATACACCTTTATTCACGTGGTTTAAATGATTAAAACATATATATATCTACTGTCAAAATTAAGTCAGATGTAAGGACACAGAATACTTGAGTTCCATCAAGGTACCGAAACACAGTTTCATATCAATATTCTTTAACTGAAGTTCAAAGCTTAAGATATAAACAAAAAACTCCATTTTTCATTACTTGAAAAAAAGATTTGAAATGATTGATCTCACATGGTGACGTTGTTTACTTGTATGAAGAGCCCCGTAGTGCGAGGAAGCCACGCACCATAAGGAACATGCAATGTATGTTAAATTTATCACAGTTGGTCACACGAGGTGCACTGGTGTATATACATACATATATATTTATATTAAACATTAACATTTCATTAACATGTACAGTTCAAAACATTTTATGCATGTTTAGATTTTAAATGTGTATCTACTATTATTTAGTAGTTAACATAAATTTAGTTGACTTAGTATAATTATTATTTTTATTGTGTCCCTTTTATTGCACTGAATTGGTATTGGGTTACATTTATAAATATACCCACAAACAAAATTGCAGAAACCATATTGTGATGGTTTCATTGCTTATAAGTAAATGTTGCTCTTAAAAACAGGTGTGATACTTTTGATGTTTCAAAAGAATTTTCTAAATTTCCAAATTTTCAATATTTCAAATTTTTAAATGTTCAAAATAATTTCAAAATTTTCAAGATTTGAAAAAAAATATAAAAAATTAAAAGGAAATCTTTTAGACTTTTCTTTTAATTCATTTAAATTAAGTTTACGGTTTGAAAAATGAAACAAATCCTCAATATACCTTCATATTATATGTTATGACCTGTAAATGTTTGACTGATGAAAGTCTAATATTAACCAAGGTATAACAATCTATACAAACACACTGGTGGTCTTTGTCAGATCTGGCCAGGGTGTGTTCTCAGTACTTAACACTGGGTCGTAAGTGTTAAACAAAACAACATTGTATACCCACAAAGTTTAGAGTAAGTTATACAACCTACATGTTTGCATTCCTCGCGAGACTTTTAAACTGTTAGCTTTGATCCTGTTTAGTGTTTGTTTCCTCGTCATGGTTACAACATTTATCGGAGAATTTAAATCAGGTCAAAATAATTTTTATTATCAACGTCAAAGTATTTTACTGTCGTGTTTAAATGCCAGTTATATTACAATTATTGATGCCACTGGAAGGATACTATTGCGAATAATTGAATAGTATTCTATCTACTTATAGGTTGTCTATAGAAGGCTCCTGTTAAAACAGCCTTCAGTGGGTCCTTCAACACCACCGGGCTTAATCTTTAAAGAATTATTTATTTGTATTTCTTGCTTGGTAACATTGGGATAGTCATGACTGTACAGGCTAAGGCGCAATATCTATTTAAAAAACACATTTTAAACATTTATAATAACTACACAAAATTGGTGTTCGGTTTTACAATTATATATCTGTATTATTTATCCACAGGGTTCAGGTATAGGATAATTTAATTCTTCACACAATAGCTTAATAATTTATTACCTACGTTATGCAGTTTACAAAAACAGTTTATGCTTCAGTGAATTCTAATTTAAAATCTTGTAATAACATCCAGTAATGTAATTGAGTTAATTTGAAATTCAAATTTTAAATAACTTGATTATTACATCTGCTTATGTCTTTCATGCCACAGTGAAATAGTTGATAAAATAATAATTAAATAATGATTTATTAATATCTTAACATATGTGATGATATAGAATCAATGACCAAATAAAAATTTAAGTGTTAAGTATTAAATACCTTTTGAGAGGTTTTAATGAAAGCCATTTTATTGCTATTATTTATAAGATTGTCTCCCTTTGCAATTACTTCCCATTGTTGTTACCTCCCTTGTTATTACCTCCCTTTGTTGTTATCTCCCTTGATGTACCTACACTCTGGTTTGTATATTGTGGAACCCATGCCCATATTAATATTGTGTTGTGCTATTTCAGCGTCTGTTGGATTTCAGTTACATCATGCCGCCCCAGAACCTAAAGGCCACGGTATTACTCTACCCTTATCTTTACTTCACCTACAGCCCTGACCAGTACACTCTTCTAGCCATCTCTCAGCGCTTTCACCCTCAACAAAACAAATCTCACGAAACAGCCTCCCAGTAGATGCTTTTTTGTTGGTTATATCAACATGGTTAATTTTTTTCTCATGAATTTAACATTCAAAAGACTTCATAAATCCATTTGCATTTGGATATACTGTATTTAAGTTCATATAGCACAGCCAGTGGAATGGAAACGTTTCACTGGTAGTGCTATATGAATATGTATACATTTTATGCTTAAATTACCAACCTGCGGAAAATGTTTAGAAATATTTGGATATACATATATAAGGATATGTTTATAATCATTTTAAAAATTCTGTGTTAGCTTAAGGTACTGAAAGACTTGCAAAAATTTTTTGAAGATAGATTATTTTTCAAGATTATTTGTAAGACCTTTTAGATTTCCTTATTGATCTTATTGATCTAACATTAACCCTATTTACTTCTACTTCTGAACTAAAGACTTTAGTAGATGCATATTCAAATATATCAAACTTTGTAATGACATAATGTAGACTTGAAGTAGAAAAGTACAGTTTTCCTAGATACTTTTTGTGTCTGAAGCTGAAGTCCTACTTTTTTTTTTATATTAGCGAAGATCACTGTGCAGTCTGCAGAATATGTAATTCATTGACATAGCTGATATTTTAAGTTTCATGAAACAAAATGTTCAGCCTACCATTTTATAGTAGGATCACTGAAAAAAGTGTGAAAAATATTAGATATTGTTCTGGCCTATTCAAAACACTCTTTATCTCTATTTTCCTAGACTTATACCGTACCTTTAGAATCTAAAGCATTTCAACCATTTGTGATAGAATTATTTTGAATGGAGAAAAATATATCAGAAGATATTAATCAATTGAAAAAGAAAAAAAAGAAAAGTATTTGTTGTAAAAGTAAAAGTATAATAATTCTTTTAAAACACTTGAGACTAACTTTCTATCAATTGTCCTTGAAAACTTATTTGTCCTTGAAGACCTGTTGGTCAGTTGTAGGATGGCTGGGAGGGTGTGGTCAAGGTGGGGTTCTGTATATCTGAACGGTGTAAGACTGACCACTGGGCATAGCTATATAATAATTCACCTCTCTGCCTCTCCACAGATATCACGTACAGAAACTGGACATAACCTTATCCCAATCACAGTGACGCCAGCTTGACCAAAATCATATTTCGTGCATCTCATTTTACATATTGATACTTGCACCATTTCTGTCAACCATATCAAAATCTGTATATCAAAATATATTTAATTTTCCTGCAATGAAATATTTTCAATCAGGAGATCAAAACCTACCAATTTCCAATTAAAATTTTAAGGATAAAAACCATTTGAAGAAAAAAAGTCATGTATTATACGCTTTTACTCAATATAACAAAACGACTTAACTTTACAGATTTTTTGAGAACTTAAAACATCTTTTTAATTTTATAATAATCTTTAAAATATTTATTCATTAAAAGAAATTTGAAATATTAGAGAAAAAAAAGGTTTTGTCCATAATATTTGAAATCTCAAGAGACTGAACAGTATTGATGTTCTTTCTGACTTAGACAAATTGGTAAAATTAGGTGGAATTAAAGCTGGCTTCTCTGGGAACTCTTCAACTGGACGTGTTCCACTTCTTGTTCATTTGTACATCATGTTTATGAAAACTGAAGTCATCCTTACAAACAGTATTATGCAGATTCAATATAAATGACCAGGAATAAGCCCATTGGTGACATACTAAACCTACTGGTACCTCCTTTACAAATAAAATAAAAAATAAAATAAAATTGAAAAAAACCCCATTAAACTCAAAAATATTCCCAGTACCCATTTAACTGCCTTTAAAGAATGATACCAATTTAATTTATGTAAAAAAAACCAGTAAAACCCTGATATGATATCCCTCTTTTGATTGCCACCTTGCTTACTGCCATTGTATAACAAAATGTAATTTTTCATTATGTTTATGCTTCACTCCATATATTGCCTACCCCTAATGCCGCAATTTTGCTGGACAAATGTTGCCGTTATAATGAGATCTAATTTATATGAAGGAAAGATAACTATACCTACACATGGTCTAACGGTCAATTTCGTTTAAATATCTGCAAAATACTACCACGGATCACTTCATTGTTTCCGAAACATGTTGTAAAACGGTTATATTTATCGACAAACCTTACAGCGACTGGTTGTGTGTATTTTTTTAACTGTGTATGAAGGACAGTTTATGTAACAGATGTAGCAAACTCTGTGTCGGAACATTTCTGTATGTGTCCTCGTATAGATTGATATCGTTTCATTTACTACCTGGTAGTCTTTGAAAACGAGGATGTAATTTTTCCTAACTGATGGATATTTATTTCTTACCTATATATGTATATGTATTTGTCTAACTATGTATGTTTTTCAAATTATTTTATCATATACCTTTTTTTTTTTTTTTAATATTTAAAAAATATTGCTTTGTGTAATGTTGTCTGCTTCAGTATGATCATGCATTAAATATTTTTCTTCAATTTCATAAATTTAATGTAGATCACAGTTGTCTGGATTTCATAGACAAATATAAAAACAAAAATACCAGAACTCCAAATTCCATTAGGCTAAACACAAGAACCCATATACTTTGGGGTTTGGGGAATTTTGTATTTATTTTCCTATGAAACCCAGTTTACTACGAGTAGATTTACTTAATTGAAAATTTCTACATGATAGTTTTGATTATGAAATCGAAAAAACAGAAGAAGACAAAAAAAATCTAAGGATTGTTTGTTTATGGTTTTCTTAATTTAGGAAGAATTGCCGGCGTTGTAATTTATAAATGGTTCAAATTTGTTGTATGTGGCATGTTGCATTAGATTAAGTTGCATGTGTAAGTCAGCCAGCAAAGTAAACGATTCAGTCTACAAAGAACATGTCTGTCTGTGTTAGTACACACACACATTTGTTTGTCATATCACTCGAGACTTTCATGCAAAACCTTCAGGATGTATGTCTCCAAACAGTCCCCAGACCCAGACATGCGTGACATATTAAAGTAAGGCATGGAACATGTATATTGCATGTCAATGGCCTCATTGATTTTATGTTAGGTGTAGGTATATGTGTACCCTTGTGAAATGTCATTAAAAATCATTAAAAAAGTCATTAAAAAAATGTCATATTTAATTTATGAAAGAAATGACTATGATATTTTGTGAAATGTCATTAAAAATCATTAAAAAGGTCATTAAAAAACTGTCATACTTAATTTATGAAAGAAATGTCTATGATATTTTGTTTGTCAATCACTTTGGGTTAGTACTGGCAATAAGTAATTGTATCTGAAACCAACTTGATTCTTTCATTTACCAGTTACTGATAACTATGTATATAATACAGATGATTTATTATGATTCCAATTGAATTTGCTTTCTTGTTCAAAAACAGAAACACTAAAGATAAAACTTACTGGAGAATGTAACATCAAAGTTTTAATTTATTGAAGTAATTTTTTTCAAATGTATAAAAATAAAATTTAGGGCGAATATTTTCCATAAATAAGGGTAAAAAACACCAGACAATTTTTTTTCATTATATCTTATTAGATTTCTGATGTTAAATAAAAGTAAAAATTACAACTCGAGGCAAAATTATTCCTTTTATAGTACAGTAATATATTTTTGCCTGAACTATAGCGACAATGAACTGGCGTCTGAAGATCATTTGTCTGTAATAAACATTTAATTTTACGTCTTCTTTTCTGAGCTGTAGTTTTATAATAATGTAATATCACTTTAGCAGAAGCTTATTATCAACTTAAATTTCCTAACATGAGCTTGGTATTTTTTCCACTGGCATAAATAACCGCCACCTCTACCGTATGTAGATCACCATACTCCGGCATGGCTCACAAAATGAACTGGCACTGATTTAACGGCTGTAACTTAAATTGTCACAGATCTAGCCGGAGGTCAGACCGATTTAAAGGTCATTGATCATTGCTGTTATGCAATATGCTCAGTATATCTTTATCTTTCATTATTCCATCTCCTATCCAAAGTCAGTGTCATGTAAATGTTTTAATATACTATTAATAAACTACAATTGTTTAATACATTAGAAAACATTTGTGTTCTTTTTCAAGAAATAATGTCTTTTGATATATATAAGATCAACTGTTGAAGCAACAATTCAAAGGGCTGTAGTTTTTTACAAATCTAAAATAGTTGCTGTTTGTAGAGTAAATCTGAGTCAGTGCAATGTTTGATCTTTATCAATTGAATGTTTGTTACAGTGGACTACCGTGTAGGGCCGCCTCCTACCAAGGTTGCAAAGTCCTCCAAACCTAAGGTGTTCGTAACTAACGGCCGGGACATCCCCCTCCGTGGTGTTTGTCTCATCTTTACTAAGGTGGCTCCCCATGGAACAGCCATCACTGAGCAAAACATCTCCAAGGTAACCAAACAACTGTCAGCACCATGCTTGTAATCACCAAATTCCAGAGAGTGGCTATTTCAATTTAGATGGTCAGAAAAAACAAATGCCTTAAGCACTCAAGAGTGTCCAACTAAAATTTATTCCATCAGAAAGATAAAACAAATGGAAATACAATGTACCATCAAAATGATAAAGTTATAAACTGGAGGCAATCGGGTATTGAAGTAAACACACATTTTACTCAATGGTTAAAATTCAATCTGTTCTTTACATTACACAGGAGATCAACTTTACAAAGCTGGACACCGTATCTGCGGGTAAGAATGGCAGTGGCCTGCTCAATGCTGTGGAGCATCTCCTGTCAAGTATCTTTATTCCTGCCCTCAAAAAGCTAAACCAAGGCTGGGGTGAACTGAGCAGTCCCTCGGGGGCCCAGGTCAGGACGGACTTTCTCAATGTGCTCGACTCCTTTGTGACAGTTCTGGTTGGTAAGTACTCTGGGTATTAGTACATATGGATCTTGATGCAAAGATTTTTTCTCCTGTTCATCAATTCTCTTATGAATTCAGATGTCATTAATCTATACATATGTGATAGGGAAATACTTATATAATACTAATGATTTGTTAACAATACTGATCTTCAGTGCACTTGATATGAACACAAAAATTCTCTTCGCAATACATTTTCTTCCAGTAGAAAATAGCATCTTATGTTGTTAAGTGTGAGACAGAAATATTGCGACATAAAAGACCAACATTTTGTTGAATGTATAGGAGAACTTTGCTAGCTCCTGGTGAAGACTGTATTCTTTTCTCCACTTTAAACAGGTGCCCAGGAGAGTCTGGAACAGAAGGTGACTTTGAATGAGTGTGAGACATATGACCTATCAAAGATCCAGACCCCATCAGACTACCAGGCTGTGGCTAACAGCTCGGATGCCCTGGAGGGCATAGAAAACACGATGATGGTCTGGCTCAAACAGCTTGAACAGGTCCTGGCTGAGAGTGAACAAATGAGAAAAGAGGCTGACGACATTGGGCCTCGCGCTGAACTCGACCACTGGAAAAAGAGGATGTCACGTTTCAACTACCTCCTGGATCAGATCAAAGGACCCAATGTCAAGGCTGTCCTGGGTGTCCTTCACACCTCACAGTCCAAACTTATCAAGGTAAGGTCATAGGTCAAGGTCGTGTTACAGCCGATCCAGTTAATTGTGGATGACAATGTTTAATTTCTCTATTATATTGGAAAAGTCGGTGCTTGAAGCAATTTTCTATTAATGTTTGTTTTTGTCCAATCAGAACTGGCAAGAGCTGGATAGGAGGATCACAGACCTGGCCAATGAGGCGAAGGATAACGTTAAGTTCCTGTACACACTGGAGAAATTCTGTGACCCCCTCTACAACAGTGACCCTGTAAGTGCTAAAAGCTGATGATACAAATCATTGTCAAGTAGACTTGGCATGGAATATATAGCATGATAAAAACAAGAAATTTATAAGTATATGAAATGGCTGAATCAACTCTTACAGTGAAACCTCGTTATACTGCCACCATTTGTTCAGAGAATATTTGGTGTTATATAGAGGTATGGTGATAAACTGAGGGAAATGTATAAAGGAATTCATAAGGAAAAGAGAAAACAAGACCTTGAAATATGTTCACATTGAGCGAAGTGGCAAATGAGACAAAAAGATCAAGGTATCACTTTCTATTTCTAACAAATATACTGTATTACTAGAAAGTAAATTAAAAGGTTTGAACATGAAAAATAAAGTAAATAAAAATTGTGTCTTTTTTTTCACCCAGCTCAGCATTGTTGTACATACACAATGTCGATGCTGAATAGCATTCGTCAGTCCATATATGTAGATTGTCACTCAATACATGTAGCAGGGTATCATGCCGGTGATGACTTTTCTGTTGACAGGTGGGTATGTTAGAAGGAATTCCGGGCCTGATCAATGCGATCCGCATGATTCACTCCATCTCCCGATACTACAACACCTCCGAGAGGATGACATCACTTTTCGTCAAGGTAACCATAGTTAATGTTTATTTGTAAACAGGTATAGCTGATTATAATCTTCTGGATTTCTGTGATCATTTAACTTGCTATTCAATATGGATTTGATTTCATGGATTCACCCTTTTGAAACACGATAAATCTTAGGTAAACAAAAATTCATGTATCCCTACAGCATGGCAATAAATGTACAAATCGTTGATTTATATTATAAAATGAAGAGAAATCTAAAGATCAGTGGATGTATAGATAATGGATGAGGTTTTGTTTTCACAGATAACCAATCAGATGATTACAGCGTGTAAGGCGTATATCAACTGTAATAAGACTGAGACCGTCTGGACACAAGAACAGGACGTTGTGGTCAAGAAGCTGCGGGACTGTATCAGACTAAACGAGGAGTACCAGCGCTGCTTCCACAAGACCAAGGAAAAGCTGGAGAAGATGCCGAATGAGCGGCCATTTGAGTTCTCCGAGATGTACATTTTTGGAAAGTTTGACACGTTCACAAGAAGGCTGAAGAAGATTATTGAAATCTTTGACACAATTTCTATGTACTCCCATCTGTCGGAGTCCAAGATCGAAGGTAAGCTGTTAGAACAGCATACAATATGCTATTTTACGGTAACAATAGATAGGTTAAGACAGCCCAATCACAGGTCTACTTATCTTTGGCTTACTTGACCCAATCTCACTTGCATTTTTGCACAAATATGTTGTGACTGCCAATACCATTTTACTTTCCTTTGACAGAAATCATGTTCAGGTGTTGGGAAATTATGTAAATTTTGTAGATGAATGATCTTCGTTCAGCTGTAATTTTTTTTTAGAGAGAGATGGAAACATTTGACCTGTTGTACAACAGATCTCTGAAAGTCAACATGATCTTGTGTCTTACAGGTATAGAACAGATGGCCAACAGGTTCACAGTTGTGGTGACGGCCATGAAGAAGAAGCCCTATGACTTCCTCGATCAGAGGAAAACAGAGTTTGACATGGACTATGATGAGTTCAAACGCCAGGTGGCAGAGCTCCATGTACGTATGAGACTTTTGGTCTTTTCGTGTTTTGTTTGTGTATTGGAAAATCAGTAAATTATATCAAAATTTACATAGATCTCTACAATAAGAGTACGACCTCTTTAGAAAGAAAATGTTCAGAAGTCTCGTTACAAGGAAGATGAAATTTATAAACGATGGGAATATGCCTCTGTAGTAATTTATTACCTTCTGTTACTTCATACCACATCTGCAGTGGCTTTGGGTTGTAATACAGTATTATTGGTAACAGTGGAATACAATTCATTTGTGAAAATGCAAAATTCTTATACTAATCCTGTGTAATTACCATAACTCTGTAATACTGTATACCGGGAAACCTTCGCCCAGTCAAATTTTTCGCCCTTTGCCGATAAAATCCATGTTCGCCTTAAATTTATAGTGTTAATTTCGCCCTTCACATATAATACATGTTGTACTAATATTCGCTGTCATGATAAATTAACCCTAAATGGGGAGGGAAAAAAAGGCAAAAGTTAAACTGTAGTGAAAATTTGCTGGTATACTGTAATACAGTATATGTTTAGGATAAGAGTCAAGCCTCGCAAATTCAGCGCCACTAATCTGGCCATCATACTATACATAGCTATTCAACCCATGCTTCATGAGATAAATTGGCCCTTTTTCTTTACCAAATATATCAATAATACAGCTCTCTCAATATTCAGCTGATTTTGTCTAAAAGAAACAAAATTAACGTGACTGGATTATCATTCCCCCCTGGTATCAGTTAGCTTGTATATCACATTTGTCTGCATACAGTCAAACATCATGGGCTTCATGGACGGCAAGTTTGAGAAGATCAGCAGCACTGCTCGGTCTATCGTCCAACTGAGGCGGTTCGAAAGACTGGAGCTGCCGAACCTCGGAATTACGGAGAAGTACCAGAGGATCCTAGGACATTATGGCCGTGACATTGAGATGGTATCAAAGCTCTACCAGAAAAACAAAAACGACCCGCCTGTTGCCAGGGATTTGCCCCCAATAGCAGGTAGGCTATAGCAACTGGTATTTTGGGTTACAATGTGACAACCTCAAAGACCTACAGAACGAAACGATTTTTTCCTAATCGGTAAAATGATGGCAATTTAAAATTGATATGCATTACCAATAATTCTCAGAAATTGATAAATAATAATTAAGTTTGCTTATTAAAAGTGAATGTTTGTCTTTCAAATGAAATAAAAAAAATGACAAAGGTTTTGTTACCGAGTTCATGGTTTATGCAAAGTACAGACATTTTCTATTAATTTAAGGTATATACAAAGTAGAGCATGACTAGAAAAAATATGTCATTCCTTAATTTATGTGCTGAAGTGATTGATATCTCATGTAAAACTATATCAAAAAACGCTAAATAATGTGTTTGATGCATTTATGTCGTTAATGAAGTCAAAACCTTTTTAAAAAAGCTACCAGCTTCACATCTTATAGGAAAAATGCCTTAATATGCCAATAAAATGTATTGTATAGATGAATATGACTATGGTATATCAACAATTTAAATTTTTTGTTCCCCTCCACCAGGTAAGATTTCCTGGGCCCGTCAGCTGTATCGCCGAATCCTGGAGCCCATGGATGTGTTTCAGAAACAGACAAATCTCCTGGAGAGTAACGAGGCCAAGAAAATTATCAAAAACTACAACAAGTTAGCCAAGGTGCTGCTGGAGTTTGAGGTCCTGTACCACCGCGGCTGGCTCAGACAGGTACGTATCACTGATGATAAAATGTTTGAAACAAATTTTCAAATACATTTTACATTTCTTTTCCATTTGTAAACAATGATATATATTAAGTGCCTGATTGTTTTATGTCTGAAAAGTTCTGAGTCTGACACCAGTGTTAAAGATCACAGAACATTCTTAAATATAAGACTCCAGTCCAAATTTCAAGCAATGATCAAATAAACAATTTTCTTCAAAGTAAAACTGAATATAGGGACTTGATCTATTCATACAATATATACATTTAAACTTGTGTAACATCACAATTTTCATGTAAGTAGAAAATTTAAGCACATTTTTTTTTTTTTTTCATGGTCAGGGAACCAGCATCTTAAGGATCACTATTATTGTATTGATGGTGAAGTTCATACAACCACATCATCATCAACATGATTTTATTAGATTGTAGTTGACAACTGTTTTGTGTTCACATGTTACACGATTCTTGGATCACTTGATAACTGTGACTTCTATCTGTATAACAGGTTGAGGTTGCTAGGTCAGGACTGCAGGCCTCACTACTGGTGCGTCATCCAGAGACGACTGAACTGTACGTGAACTTTGATCCCCAAATCCTGACGATGATTCGTGAGACAGAGTGCATGACCCGTCTGGGTCTAGAGATTCCGTTGCTGGCCCGGACCATGCGAACAAAACAGGCAGAGTTTAAGGAGAACTATGAGGCTTTGCAGATGATGCTGCAGGAAAACCAGCGTGTGCGCAGCAAGATCCCGACAGCCTTCGAGGCGCTGATGGGGCCACACACAGGGAAAGTGGACTCTACTATTGATCCTGGCCTTAACACTCTTACCTGGACCTCTCTCAATATTAAGGACTATATTAGTGAGGTGTATGCTGATCTTCAGGCCCTTGAGCTACTCATGGATCGGGCACATGATGTGACAGAATTCAGGATTGATGCCGTCCTCAAGGAGATGGCAACCACCAACCTGTGTCAACTGCCAGAAGAAGAGCCCTGGACAGTCGACCACTTCCTTGACAACACACAGATGCTGTGTGCCAAGGGGGCACAACTCTTGCAGACCAAGTCTATGGTGGTGGAAGAGGCAGCCAGTGAACTCATTAACATGCTGTGTACTCTGGAAATGGAGGAGGAAGATGGTCAAGGGGAAGAGCAAGTCGGCCAGGAGGTAGACATCGAAGGTAGGCAGCACCTTCTTGACTCTGTTTGTCAAAAAATATAAGTCATGTGAAATGTGTCATTATTATCACTAATTAATACACTCTTTTTAACTTTAATTAATGTAATTTGATTTCTTAATATTTGAGATTTTGAAGGAATATCCTGCCGAATTTTCACTTATCGCTGATTTGTCAGTTTGAAAAACCTTTAACTTAAATCGAATATTAAAGAACCTGTATTCTCAAAATATTTGAACATCATTTTCCTCCAGCATATCTATTATTATAATTGTGCATTCAGGAAAGAATAAGATACAAAACTTTGTGAATGGTTAGGAATGATTTGGCTTTGCAGAAGAAATATTTTTTCAACATTTTTGTTTTGTTTTGTGAAGATGAGAGAGGAAGCCCTAGAGGAAGTCCCACAGCCTCTGCCCGGGATCGCTCGGCGAGCAGACGGTCACGTCCTGTATCATCGAAGGCCAATGCTGTGGCAAAAAAGAAGCGGGAAATGAGAGAAAACATCGAAGAGGCTGCCAATGAGTTGTTGGCTCATTTCAACCATCGTAACCAAGACGCCTTGCTAAAGGTGACACGAAACACCCTGGAGTCACTCCGGAAGAGGATCACATCCTCCTCCATGGTCCATTATTTAGGTAAGATGTCATGTCTCAAAGGATGCATTGAGGCCTGTTTTGTTTGGAATTTTTATTTTGATAACTTGCCAACTTTTTGAAATTTCCATGGGTGAGAATACAATGCTTGGAGTTAAAAACATTTATAAAATGTGTGTATGTACACTCTAGGGAAAACATAACACTTTTAAATGACATCTTTTGAGCTCTTCTTTTAGGTCTTAGATAATAGGAAAAGTTTAGCAAATTTACTGGTTTATAAAACTTAATTTTATGGTCCGAAATTGGGAGTCTCCCTTTAAAATAGGGAGAGGAATTGGCAAGTATGCTACAAATTGCTACGAACATGATAGAAAACAGTATAAACACTCCAAAGGATATTAGAAATCACTTTGTTTTCATACCTACTTATTTTGGCTGTTGTTCATATAATAAAATGTTTGTGAAATGAAAATTGCTGCTATGTGGATTGTTTGTTTGTGTCTGGAAAAGAAATTGGAGATATATGAATTTGCGATCAGTTCTACAAACAAATTTAAATGAAAACAATATATTGAAAAAAATATTGGTGATTTACTATATTAGGTAAAATCATTACTATGAAGGTGGTGTGATCATTTCGTCATGTTACCTTTCTTCTTCAGGTGAATCCAGTAGTGCCAAGGGAGACAAGAAAGACAGTCGGCCATTTTACAAGACATTCGCAACTTTGGCCATTCCGAACATTGTGATGCAGCCAGCTCTGGACGAGGTCCAACAGGCGGTCAACAAGGCCGCACAAAAGATCATCCTTGTCTCTAAGGGTGTTGCCAAATGGAGCGATGAGCGGAAGCGTGTCACCAAGCCGCAGCAGGTCAGGTCAGGTTCGGCCAGTCGCCGTAACAGTGTGGTGAGTAACGCCCCATCCGAGGGATCACACGCTGGCAAGAAAAACGAGGAGGAAGTAAAAGCTGCACAGAGCTACGTCATACAACAACAGGTCAAGAACTACTACAAGGCTGTGTCAGAAAACAAAGAAGTCTCGAAACTGGTCTCCCTTCTCTCCACCTCCATCAACTCTAACAAAAAGGTAGATTATTAATATAGCACAGGATGATCTGAGCCCGATGTTTCAAAGTCTGAACACTTTAACCATCTTAACAACTTTTCACTTTGCCTTTTTTGAGAAAAATCCAAAAATCTCTAAAAAAAAATGTATTTCTTGTCTATATACAATCATTTAAAATCCTTATACACATAAGTTTTATTCTAAATTTAAACAATTTTTTAAAACATATTTAAGATGACAGATTCACATTAAGTGGATGTTAAGGTAATGGGTCTTTAAATTACTCTGGATGAATGTATTTAGTGCTTGATACAATTTAGTTCTATTCTTGTTAAATGGTCCTAAAATATCGGTGTTGAGTGAGATCTTAGATTACCTGTACTGTTCTGGGCAATCAAATACATCGACAAACGTATTTGAATATCATAACTAAAATGATATGTTCATGAAGTTAAGATTATTAAAAAAATTGATTAAATGAAGCAATGTTTAAACATCACATTTATTTATTGGGTAAATAAGGATTAATCAAGAATTACCATCCGTGTGATGTAGTATGGGTCAAAAGTCTATTTGCACTGATTTGAAATGTTGTATGTGTGTTGAAGGAGGTGATAACAGCCCTTGACAAGTTTGCCGAGTACCACCCCATCTGGGAGGTAGACCGTGATGAAGACCTTGTGGAATTCACTAAGGAGAAGCGTAATCTATCCGAGTACGAGTCCAAGATTAAACACTATGAGGAGCAGGAGGTGAAGATTGCCAATCTTCCTGAGTACTACGATGTGGGGCCGATAGCCCTGTATACAGGTACGCCCCGACAAATCACAGTAACCAGTTTACCTGATAATTAAGGATATATGCCACATTCCTATGTTAAGTATCTCCTTTACAAACGAGTTCAACACAAAAGAGTTCTTCGCAGAGAAAATTGTATGTATTTTATATGAGTGGTACTTGTGATTTGGTTAATCAGTTGACACTCTGAACTTTTAATAGATTCACAATAACCTGTGCACTGTACAACTCTTATTCTTAAGGATAAGTTGCATATTTGCCCTATTAATTGCCCTAGGCACTTCACAATAATTTTTCCAGAAAATTTAAATGATTGTATTACAAATTTACATAGAAAGCAGAAAAAAAGCCATAATAGACTGATTTTATCAAATTTGTAAAGTAATGTTACAAAAGAATGAGATACACAGACCTGAAAAATAATAGGGGGCCCTTATATGGTAGACTCGAAATATGAATATATCTAATCGAGGGAGATAACTCTAATGCAACACAATTATAATGCCCAAGCTAGGTAGCATGAACTTTAAAATTTCCAGGAAGATTGTTTATTGAATTAACTCACCAAATTTAAAGTATTTCGTGTATGGTCTTTTGCCACTCCATACAGTATTTAAAGCTTAAATCATGCACTGTGTAATATTCACAAGATGATCTGACTTTGTTTTGTGACAGAGAACCTGAAGCTCGGTCTGATCACTGAGACCAAGGCCTGGCGCCTACACTTCGGTAAGGCCTGTAACCACAAACACATGACAGAGATGGAGGAAATCTTCAACTTCATGGAAGACACCGTCAAGAAGCTGTCCCGGCCCCTCAAGGACCTGGATGACATTAGGTTTACCATGGCTGCCCTCAAAGACATCCGTGAGAACGAGATTAGGATTGACATGAGCATTGGCCCTATAGAGGTAGGTCAAATGGAGGTCAAATGTCAAGGTCAGATGTTGAGGTTATCCAAGAGAATTTGTGGTTGATTAACAAGAAATATTGAAAATTTGATTAAATGTGTATCTGTTTTATTTTAATGTGATGTAAAAGTGTGTTGTACTTTCAAAGAAAATGTATGTGATTTAATGAGATTTTAGCACTTTAAGGGCTAATTTGAAAATGCTAAATTATGATACATATGAAAGCTAAATATGAAATAATATTCTAGCACTTTTAGCATGAACTTGAAAGTGCTAAATTAAGGTAACAGCCAATTAAAAACAATATTTCATCACTTGTGGTGGTGATTTGAAAGTGCTTCATGATAATTACTAATTGTTAACGACCATTTTAAATTGTCACAGATAGATAAAAATATGTGTGTACTTATATAAGTTTGTTAACAATACATTGTCTACAGTGAATGTGATTCTGTGTTTATAATTATAGGAGTCGTATGCCATGCTCAACAAACACGATCTCCCAGTGAACAAAGAGGAGATGGAACGGTGTGACACGCTACGATATTCCTGGGAAAAGCTCCAGGTCCTTCAGTCTGAGGTTCAGACTCAACTGCTTGTTGTACAGCCCGACTTCAAGACTGAGCTCATCCAAAATGTCAAAGAGTTCAAAGTGGACTGCGATAACTATTTTGATGATTATGATAAAGTAAGCATTAATTCAAAAGAGCAAATATTTTATTTGGGTGAAGTTAGTGTTGGTTTACAATTTAATTTGATTTTAACTTCAAATTTTCGACATTCTTGTTGTCTGGTACTGAAAAGTCTTACTTATGTAGTTAAAAATTTGTGAATGCAACTTTTCTCCTGTTTCTTTATAGTGAGGTGAAGTAGGGGGAACTTTATCATAACGTGCTCAAGTGTTACTAATAAGAAGGTTTTTGAAGGATTTATATTGTCCTCCCCCCCCCTCATATATTTAATTTCTCCTTTTATTGCCCTGCATACCTCTTGGTATCCATACTCATCAAACCTGATACCTTTACCTGATGTTGGCTCTACACCTATGGAGTTTATAGTGAGTTGTGTTATTTATAATATTAAGATTGTATTACTATGAGAAACATTTCCCTTCAGAATGGCCCCATGGTTAGTGAGGTGGCCCCACGTGAGGCCTCCGACAGGCTAGTGATATTCCAGAACACCTTCGAAGTCCTGTATAAAAAGTTTGTCACTTACACTGGAGGCGAAGGCCTGTTTGGACTACCAGTCACCGACTCCCCACAGCTTCTCAAGATCAAGAAAGAGCTTAACCTTCTGCAGAAGCTGTATGGCCTCTATAACAACGTACTGGAGACTGTCCACGGTTACTACGACATTCTCTGGACCGACATTAACATTGAAAAGATCAACAATGAACTGATTGAGTTCCAGAACAAGTGAGTTTTATCACGGAATTTGACCCTTGTATATATATTTATGCATTGTCCATGTTCTGTTTCAATGAGACAGGTTTTAGATGAACAAGGTTCCCATCTGGCTTTGTTTATATGGGAGTTTTATTTTTTTGCTCACAGAGGTGGACTCTCTGAATACATCAAATTTAAACTAAAAAAAATCTTGAACTGTCATACTTTTTGAGAATTTTCACGAATACACTAAAACTTAATCAGGCTGATTAGAGTGCTGTATGGCGAAATGTCTCGGTAAAGTCACACTGCGGCTTAGTGAGCTATTTTCAGCAGTTTAGAGTCGAGACACTGGTAATTTGCACTCTTTGCTTGACAAAGGAAACAGATGTTTTTGGAAGCTCTCAATATAAGTTTTCAAGAACTGTTTGTGGTCAAACAAACTTAGCGTTTATTAAACAGCCTGAGCTAATATATAAGAAATGTGATGGAAGCATACCGGAATGTGTTACAGATGCCGCAAGCTGCCAAGAGCTCTCAAGGACTGGCCAGCCTTCGCGGATCTGAAGAAGACCATTGATGACTTCAACGAGATGGTGCCTCTGCTAGAGCTTATGACCAATAAGGCTATGAAGCCACGCCATTGGCAACGTATGTCTGACGTCACTGGGCACGTGTTCGACGTAGAGGGAGATAACTTCATGCTCAAGAACATCCTGGAGGCTCCTCTCTTGCAGTTTAAGGAAGAAATTGAGGTACATATTATCATTTTTTTAAGCTTATAGAGTTTTTAAGGTACCTATGGAGGGCTAATAGGCAATGCCAAACGAGGAATGTGGAATGTATAATGAAAAAATGCTTATTGTCTAATGCCAAATGCATAATTCCAGTTGTCAAGTTCGGAATGGGTATTATGCATTAGCATTTGTTATTTGTCAATTAGCATTTTGCATTCAGTGTTTGGCATAGTTGCGCACCAGACTTTTATAGGTACCTTCATTGCTAGTTTATAAGAAGAATATAGATATATAAGAATGTAATTTTTGTGAAGTCCATGAATGGGTTTTCTTGTTGCAAATGGCCTCTTAAGAAATGTTCAGTTAACTTGAAAATAGCTGAAATGAATGGGTACTATTAAAGTAGTCTCTCAAAACAGATCATCTCTTAACTGTGTTAAGTTCTTGAACAAAGTGGCTGTATCCTGTCTATGTAATGACCCTACATGCATGTACAAGTGACCATTTACTCTGTGTTCTAGGATATCTGTATCTCAGCTGTGAAAGAGAAGGACATCGAGGCTAAACTCAAACAGGTCATCAACGACTGGAACAACCAGGAATTCACTTTTGGCCAGTTTAAGACGAGAGGAGAGCTCCTACTGCGTGGTGATACGACAGGCGAGGTTGTCTCCCTTATGGAGGACTCTCTGATGGTTCTCAGTTCCCTGATGAGTAACAGGTAGGACGTTACACTGTAGATATCACCATTAGGTTGTACTAACCACCTGGTTCGGCAATTAATTATAATCCTGTCAGTGTCTTTGTATGTAAATTTATTTTCTGGAATTAGCTTCGACTCAATTAATCTATTTGTGAACTGAAATCTATATGATCTAGAATTTCATAATGCTTGCAAATCTATATGATCTAGAATTTCATAATGCTTGCAAATCTATATGATCTAGAATTTCATAATGCTTGCAAATCTTTATGATCTAGAATTTCGTAATGCTTGCAAATCTTTATGATCTAGAATTTCGGAATGCTTGCAAGAATACCAAACTATATCTTTAGACGGTTTGTATACTGTATACTGGGAAACTTACTCACAGTCAAATGTTCACCCTTCACCGTTAAAATCCATATTCGGCCAGTGTTAATTTCACATTTCATTTGTCATTACTATTCTGTCTTTTCGTATTGCAGAGTTATCTGCTCTTGTGAGCAGGCATTGATTGTTACGTCATTTGTTTGTGAGAGTAATGTCATAAATGTTTGAGAAAATGACGTAATTTTCTCACACAGACTAATGACGTAACAATCAATACCTGCTCTTGTATTGGTATATATAAAAACAGGATCTGAGTTTGACCTAGTCCTGACCTTGTGACCTTTTATTTTAGGTACAATGTGCCGTTTAAGAAGCAGATTCAGCTGTGGGTACAGAACCTGACGAACTCGTCCGAAATCATTGAGAACTGGATGACGGTACAGAACCTGTGGGTATACTTGGAGGCTGTGTTTGTGGGTGGTGACATCGCCAAACAGCTGCCAAAGGTAGGTTCTGTTATGCTTCGCAGTGGCATGTGTGTTATAACTAATTTTTCTGATCCCTGAAAACTTCCATTGGCATCGTACATAATATAAACACAAAAATATCTTTTCATCCTTATTTTAGAGGAGTGCAAATTGTGAATCAAATAATTTATTTATTCACATTTTAGCTTTTTACTAGGAATGAAAATAATGGTTCATCAAGGTTCTATTTACTCTTGTGATAAATCTTTTATCTTGCTTTCATTCATGATAATGTTAGTTTTCCTTCTCTCTTCCCTAACAGGAAGCTAAGAGGTTCAGCAACATTGACAAGTCCTGGATCAAGATAATGACTCGTGCCCACGAGACACCCAACGTAGTCCAGTGCTGTGTCGGGGACGAAACTCTCATACAGCTCCTTCCTCATCTGCTGGAACAGCTTGAGCTCTGTCAGAAATCTCTTACTGGGTAAGTCTGAGAGGGAAACCCAAGCTCTGTCAGAAATCTCTTACTGGGTATGTCTGAGAGGGGAACCCAAGCTCTGTCAGAAATCTCTTACTGGGTAAGTCTGCGAGGGGAACATAATATTTGTCAGAAATCTGTAACTGGAATACTCAAGCTCTGTCAGAAATCTCTTACTGGATAAGTCTGAGAGGGGAACTTAATTTTTGTCAGAAATCTGTTACTTGAGAAATCAAGCTCTGTCAGAAATCTCTTACTGGGTAAGTCTGCGAGGGGAACATAATATTTGTCAGAAATCTGTAACTGGAGAACTCAAGCTCTGTCAGAAATCTCTTACTGGGTAAGTCTGAGAGGGGAACTTGAATTTTGTCAGAAATCTGTTACTTGAGAACTCAAGCTCTGTCAGAAATCTCTTACTAGGTAAGTCTTAGCATAGAACTCGACCTTCATCAGAAAACTCACAAGTCCAGTCAGAAATCTGTTTCTTGAAATAAGTCTGAATGTGGAGCTGAAGAGCTCTGTCAGAAGTCTCTTAATGATAACTCAAAATTAAGTAGAAGTCAGCTAGAGGACTTGTCTGTGAGTGTCATTCCTCATACACATCCTTCTAGTGTGTGTAACGATGGCTGTTTGTCTGATACCTGTAATCTGGTTGGGAACTAAGATGAGCAGGAATTTTATAGTAGCAGGCTTGAATGGGAAATATATATTCCTGAATGTGTGGATCTGTTTCTACAGATACCTTGAGAAGAAGCGACTGTTGTTCCCGCGTTTCTTCTTCGTGTCGGACCCCGCCCTGCTGGAGATCCTCGGACAGGCTAGTGACCCCCACACCATCCAGGCTCACCTCCTATCTGTATTTGATAACATCAAGAACGTGAAATTCCACGAGAAGTTCTACGACATCATTCTTTCCATCTTTTCCTCGGAGGGAGAAACCATTGATGTAAGTGGAAGTGCTTATTTTTAAACATTAAATATGTAACTGTTTTATGAAACTTACACTGTAAATAACTTTTTTTGTGATTAAATATTTTTTGAGATTTCAACTACTCATTTTTTGATACTGTGTAATATACATGCTGAAACTACAAAAAACAATGTTAGTTAATCCACGGTAAAAGTATCATGTGTGTCTTATACTGTTTATTAAGACGATTTAAAAAAAAATATATTTTAAAAGTGATCATTGATTATTAAAATATATCATGAAAATGACAAATATGTAAAAGGCCGATGAAAGAGCAAAATATTTGGATATTTAGTTATGATTTTGTTAAAAAAACACCATTAATGCTGAACTTTGACAGCTGGAGAAGCATGTTAAAGCGGAAGGAAATGTTGAGGTCTGGCTCATGGCATTGATGATGATGGCCCAGAAGTCGCTCCACGGTGTCATCAGAACCGCTGCCATCGCTATCCAGGACAACAACTTCCAGCTCCTGGAGTTCCTGGACATGTTCCCTGCACAGGTACAATAGTTGGACAATGGTGTGCCACGAAAGTTAGGATCAGCCTAGAGAATGACCTCAAATCTCGTAATCAAATTAAAACTGGTAGAAATAATCTGTATATAATTGTCAAGTTAAAACTTCCTTACAAAGTGTACTAATTTTGTGTCGTAAAACTCCAGAGAAAAAGAAAAATACTAATCATACAGCCTTAATTTTAAAATTTGAATCTATAAGATTATAAACCATGTTAATTATTATTGAAATACAATGTACCGAGCTATGTTTATATATATGTAGTGTGTTTTAAGTACAATATTCTTGTTATAGGTCGGACTTCTAGGACTTCAGATGATTTGGACTCGAGACTGCACAGACGCGCTGACCCATGCACGTTACGATCGTAAAATTATGCAGCAGACAAACCAAGCATTCCTGGAGCTCCTGAACACTCTCATTGATCAGACAACTCATGACCTGGCCAAGGTGGAGAGGACCAAGTTCGAAACTCTCATCACCATCCACGTCCATCAAAAGGACATCTTTGATGACTTGGTATGTTACGTACAACTAAGGTGCTTTTACTTGAATGAATTTAACCCTTTCACTACTGTAGACCATATTGGACTCATCCAGATGAATGTATGGTAGAGTCTACTCAAGTTACTTAGGGGTGAAAGGGTTGAATGAATACTTGTACAGGTGGACTTGTATTCAAAGACCACATTAATATATTGGGAAAGTGTGAATTGTATTTTCTGTAATTAACACCCTGATTGGTGTCCAAAAAAGTAGTCGAAGGGGCAATTTTTAAAATAACACAACATAGATTGTGTTAGTTTCCATAAAGGCGACTTAAAAGTCAGGCATATTCTCAGGGAGAATTTCAAAATTCTAAAATATTGGGAAACACAATCTTATCAGATTTCAGACTGTAGGGGAAGGGCGCTTTAAGGGATCTCTTTGCACAGGTGTTCTCTCAATAGAGGTGGTCTCTCTGATAGGTTAGACTGTATTGAATAAAATTTCATTTGATATACAATATGTCCCACATAGTTCAGTAAGTACAACCTATATATCACAACTGAATTGAAGCCTTTTGGAGTAATACAACTATTTAGTGTCAATTTTATATATTTCTAGGTGCGTATGCACATCAAGAGCCCGACTGACTTTGAGTGGTTGAAACAGTCCCGGTTTTACTTCATCGAGGACCAGGATCGTACTCTCATCTCCATTACAGATGTAGATTTTATCTACCAAAACGAGTTCCTGGGTTGTACGGAGCGTCTTGTCATCACCCCCCTCACTGACAGGTACGACCATGTGACCTCTGACCTCTCTGACAAGATTACCTCAACCAATCAAATACCTTCCTTCAAATTAGTGTATAACTTGAAAGCATGTACTTTGTATAGCTTTGTTTTTTCATGATAAGCAAGATTTATATGCAGTGATTTTTGGCCCTGTAAAAGTTACAGATAACTCATGTATGGACACTTAATGTTAAAAGTGGTTTAATTTCGCAGTCTTCTGATTATATCACATTTCCCTTGATATAACATCTTACTTTGACAAACAACATAGTGCTTGAAGAGAACGTCACTGTACACAGAAAAAGTTCAGCACTATGCAGAATATATAAAAATTTACTATAAATATAGGTAGTTGCCACCTCTAGTGAGGGGTTTTCATAGTTTTAAGAAAATGCATGCATCAGCTTCATTTAACACAGAGAAAGTTTAGTGCTTTGCAGAATATAGAAAAACTTACCATAGTTGCCAACTTTTGTTAGGGCTTTTCATCATTTTAAGACAACACATACATAAACTTCCTTGAATACAACAGTATTGTACCTGGTAATTAAGAATAAGGAAATAAATATCTTCCCCCATTTTATAGGTGCTACATCACCCTTGCCCAGGCTCTTGGAATGTCCATGGGTGGAGCTCCAGCTGGACCCGCTGGAACAGGCAAGACCGAAACTGTCAAGGATATGGGACGTTGTCTAGGCAAATATGTTGTTGTCTTCAACTGTTCTGATCAGATGGACTTCAGAGGTCTGGGTCGTATCTACAAAGGTATGTTATTGGAGATTAAATGTTGAAACTTGTGTATCTTCTGTAACCAAAATGAAGTTTGTTACTTTGAAATAAAGCTAAAACAAATGCGCTTTTCACTTTTATTTTTCTTTCCACTGCAAGTCCATATATATCCAATAACAGAATTAATAGCATTCACAGGGCTATGAATGGAGTAAGATCAATGTCCTTAGATCTCTTGGCAGCTATTATTTCCCCTCAATTTCTCTGTTGTGCAAATTTGCCTAAGTCAGGTTCATATGAATGTTTTGATGAGTTTTATGTTATTCTTATATAACACTACTAGAATATAGGGCATTCACAGGGCTATTAATGCAGTAAGATCAATGTCATGAGAACTCTTCTCCTGTAAATGGCAGCTTTTAATTCTCACTTGATTTCTCTGTTGTGCAGGTTTGGCTCAGTCAGGATCTTGGGGATGTTTTGACGAGTTTAATCGTATTGAACTTCCCGTACTGTCTGTTGCTGCTCAACAGATTGCCATTGTACTCACGGCAAAGAAGGAACGAAAGAAGAACTTCATCTTCACTGACGGAGACAATGTATCTTTGAACATGGAATTCGGCATCTTCTTGACAATGGTGGGTAGAATTGATATGACACGAGAAAATAATCTCATGTCCAAAGGCGACTGAGAACAATTCTATTATACATGTACTTCATTAGTGCTTAAACAGGCTCAGACTTTTAAATAGATTTAAATTCCTATTTTTTTTTTACATAATTAATCTTCCATATTTTAATTCATTATCTATCACATTGTTTTGCCAAAATTTTGTATGGGAGTATTTGTTGGGATGGTGGGGTTTCACAAACTGATATCAGGTCTCCTGCCCAACTATGTACAAAGTGATAACTTGTTGTTCATTTTTAACACCAAAGTTTGTCTGAAGCATGACTTCCTTGCTATTTTACTTAAGTTCACCTGTTTTCCAACACTCATAAATAGGTATTACGTTGAGGTGTATATATTCTTAGCTGTTCAGTCAAAATAACAAGACCATATAATGGCTTCACCATTTTACTGGTGAGAGACTATGGATTGCTCAGAACATTTTGTCATGTCCCACATGTTGCATACAAAAAAAATATGTAAAAATGTATATGGTAATTACATTCAGGATGATTTATTACTGTTGATTCCTATTAAACAAGCATGCTGCATTATTTTCAGAACCCTGGTTACGCTGGACGACAAGAGCTGCCAGAGAACCTGAAGATTAACTTCCGTACCGTAGCCATGATGGTTCCGGACCGTCAGATCATCATCCGTGTGAAGCTTGCCAGTGTGGGTTTCATTGAAAACATTGTGTTAGCTCGTAAATTCTTCACCTTGTACAAACTCTGTGAGGAACAGCTTACCAAACAGGTACACTATGACTTTGGTCTGAGAAATATTCTATCTTGTCTGAGAACCCTGGGAACTGTGAAACGTGCGAACCCTAACGATCCAGAATCTACCTGTGTGATGCGTGTGCTTCGGGACATGAATCTATCCAAATTGGTAGATCAGGATGAGCCTCTGTTCTTGTCCCTGATAGACGATCTGTTCCCAGGTGTCACACTGGACAAGGGAGGCTACCCAGAGTTGGAGGGTGCTATTGATAGGCAAATAGAAGACGCCAAGCTCGTTAAACATCCATCGTGGAGACTGAAACTCATCCAGGTTTGTAAAATGTTTGCAACTTAAATGATGTTTTATCTACCCTTATTCTAAATCATATCCTCACATATTTTTATTTTTTTTAATTGCATTTTTGAAAGAAGAATATATTTTGTCTTTAAAAAAGTTCTACTGTTTAAGTGTATGATATTTTTCATGTCATTTTCTAGCTCAGAAGCTGTATCCTTAAGTTAGGTTTATCTACCGATACAGGATCTATAAAGATCCTCTACACCAGACTCAAAAGCATAACACTGAAATATTAAAAAGAGGTGTATATGAAGTTCTTTTTTTTCTCAGAGGTATGTCATATTAAATGGTAACATATTTTCTGTGCCCACAGCTATTTGAGACCCAGCGTGTGCGTCACGGGATGATGACCCTGGGACCCAGTGGGACAGGCAAGACCTGTTGTATTCACACCCTGATGAAGGCCATGTCCGAGTGTGGGGAACCCCACAAAGAGATGAGGATGAACCCCAAGGCCATCACTGCTCCCCAGATGTTCGGGCGTCTGGATGTGGCGACCAACGATTGGACAGACGGCATTTTCTCCACTCTCTGGAGACGTACCCTCAGGACCAAAAAAGGTACATTCATAATCTGCAAAATGTATTTATACTGGTAAACATGAGCCTCAACTGTTTTAAGAATGTGCATTAGGTTCTTGGGACACCGAAATGAGGAAATTCAGTTAAAATTGGAAAGTTAAAGATTTAAACGTAAACAAAAAACGAAACTAAAACAATTATTCCTATTATGAAAGTGATCAAAGTGGTTATATAAAGTTTAAGCATTAAACTATATAAAATTGGTCTTTACATTTACTGAATTCCTGAAATTTCGACCACCAGAATATTTTAGTATTTAATTGTGTAATGTCCCATGCATTGATAAAACTGACCATATTTTCATCAGGTGATCATGTATGGCTTGTTCTGGATGGTCCCGTTGACGCCATCTGGATTGAGAACTTGAACTCTGTACTGGATGACAACAAGACCTTGACTTTGGCCAACGGTGATCGTATCCAGATGTCACCAACCTGCAAGATCATTTTTGAACCCCACAACATTGACAATGCATCGCCCGCGACTGTCTCCAGAAACGGCATGGTGTTCATGAGTAGCTCGGGTCTGGACTGGAGCCCTATCCTACAGGTACACACACACCAGACCATACTTATTTTTAATGTGTTAAGTTTTACAAGGGTGAAACTCTCTTAGTGTTGGTCCTGGAAGAAATGTACAGGGTACACATTTCACCCAACACTGTTGATAAAGTAAATTCCAAACTAAATATCTATCAGAAGAGCAAAAAGTGTTGTTATTTCACTAATAACTCTCGCAGATCACAAATTAACATTAATATGACCTCATTGAATAATGCATCTCTGTAAGTCACTTAATTTTTGTGTGTGCATGTACTTTATTTTGCAAACAATCTCTGAAAGTTCTATTTACAAATTCTTGAATTCCTTTGGAAACTGAGATGATACAGTTTAATTTGCAACTGAGACAATGGAAATTAATTCATGAACAAGATTATGATATTTCAGTGTTTATCTTTTTATCAAAAAACGTAATATGATTGATGGAATATACGAGGAGATGCAATAAACATTAACAATACCTGACCTTGACCTTGACCTTGACAGGGCTGGCTAAACAACCGCTCTCTGGCCGAGCAGGGCATCATCATGAACCTGTTTGAATGTAGCTTTAAGGATATCTACCAGTACAGTGTACAGAACTTTGAGTTCAAGATGGAGGTACTCGAGGCCTTCGTCATCACGCAGGTGAGATATCTTAGATGAAAAGGATTTTATACTTCAGGATACATTTTATGTTTGAAGACCTTGTATGTATAACAGTAAGTATCTATCAAAAGGGGCATTCATGATAAATGTGATTCACGATTTCAAAACATTTGATACATGTACCATTTCTTGATGCGTCATTGTGACATCATCTTGTGTTGTTTCAAGTGGAGGCCATTTTGATTCAGACGAAGGTTTACAGTAGCAATTCTAAGGTGATTTAAATTATTTGTACAGCAAATAATGTCTTTGTGTGAGTGATTTAGCGAAAAATATAAAATAATACCGTAAATGTCCTGCAATAAGCCCAGGGGGCCAACAAATAAACTGTGACTCCACTGAACTGTGTAACTTGGGTGGGCTTATTACCAGGTATTCACTTATTGCCAAATAAATACAGTAATGAAAAGAAATGAGGCTATTTTGTTCCATGTTGTCACCAGTTAAATGAATATTGCAAAACAAAAATTGATTTTAAAGTGTACTTTAGGTGATTTGGAGTTTTTGAAATCCTCCATGGATTCTATAATTTGTGGGGAGAAAGAAAAAAGTATAGCACTGGCAAAAATGTATAATTTTATTTATCTTGCAATAAGCCCAAGTTGCCCACACATATTCTTTGACTTAAAGTAGGCACATGGGCTTACTACATGACAATGAAATATATAGCTTGAACTTAAATTGTTGCCATTTCTATTGAACTGCAATAGGAATAGTGGGCTTATTAATCGGCATGGGCTAATTTCAAGAATTTAACAGTACCTGGTATGTAAAAGCAATCAAGCCTGTGATAAAAAATAAAATGAAAAAATAGTCTGGTCCCTAAGGTTGTGAAAAAAGATGAATATAAAAAGTGATGTGTCTTCTTGTCTACAGTCAACCAAGATTTTGACCAGTCTGATCACTAAGCTTGTGAAAATAATTGAATTCAAAAAGTGATGTGTCTTCTTGTCCCCAGGCAACCAAGATCTTGACCGGTCTGATCCCAGTAAAGGATGACAAGGATAGTAGCCAGATAAGTGGTATCCATTACGAGCGTCTGTATGTGTTTACTCTCATGTGGAGCATAGGCGCCTTCCTTGAGTTGGATGATCGTGCCAAGTTTGAGGAGTATATACGCTCCAATGATGAGATCAAGCTTGATCTCCCTGCCATTAAACACGATGGCGACGAGTCCATGTTTGACTTCTTTGTCAGTAATGAAGGTGAGGTTTATAACCGTATACCATGTAATGATGATTAGGGTAAGGAAACCATATATAATCAGAGGAATCAATCTTAAATGCTTTAAGATGCTCACAGTAATGTGTATCGACGCAAGTACAACATCGAAACTAAATATTGATACAAATTAGAACAACCTGAACCAAAGTCAAAGGAACTACAGTTTTTTTTCCCCTCTGAATATCTTAATTAACAAAACATTCTGTGAAAATATTTTAAAGTCTGTTGCAAATTGTAGAATTTATTTTCCATGTTTGAAGGTTAATCAAAATATGATGGAATAAATAAACTATACACATGCTTGTTATTTCAGGCAAATGGGAACACTGGGAGAAAAAGGTACAACTATATGACTACCCAACTGACTCAACGCCCGAGTACAGTAGTATCCTCGTCCCCAACGTAGACAACGTCCGATCTGAGTACCTCATCAGTATCATCGCAAAACAGAACAAGGCTGTGCTCCTCATCGGCGAGCAGGGTACCGCCAAGACGGTCATGATCAACGGCTTCATGAGCCATTACAATTCGGAGTACCATCTAGCTCAGTCGCTCAACTTCTCCTCCGCCACAACGCCCTATATGTTCCAGGTAACCGTCGGCGAACCTCTACGTCAGACTTGTCGAAACTTTCATTAAATAATATACAGGCTATCTAAGATAACTTCTTACCACTGATGTTTATTTAACCATTTCCTATGGTATGTAAAAAGTGAAAATATCTAAGATCTAACGTTGGATTTTGTCATGTCTTCAATTTAAAAAAAAATGTGTTTAGTTTTTGTATCTTCTTCCTAATAGTGCAAAACAATTGCTTGAATTTGTGAATTGTTATGTATTTCCAAAATATTCAAAATTGAATCTCTTCACTGAAAAAATCATTTAAACAGTCTCTGATTAGAATTTATATTTTAGAAATTCGAACATAATTGTGATGGCTCAAGTAACCTGTTATCCGTCCATCCACCACCTGCTTATTGTTGCTGATTGTTCTGACCTACATCATTTATTTATCTGTTCTAGCGAACCATTGAAAGCTACGTTGAGAAGAGGGTCGGTTCCACCTATGGCCCCACAGCTGGAAAGAAGATGACAGTCTTCATTGATGATATCAACATGCCCACTATCAATGAATGGGGAGACCAGGTCGGAAATGAGATTGTCCGGCAACTCTTTGAGATGAAGGGATTCTACAACCTTGAGAAACCTGGTGACTTTACCAATATTGTGGATGTACAGGTGAGTTATGTCCCCTTAAAGAGAAATCTTCTATTAGACATCGCAATCAAAATAGTGAAATAGCACAATCATCTCTTAATGTTTGTTCAGGCAAAGAATTTGAATTTTAAATTAGCATGCTATTTTACTAAGGATAAATAATCAATAGTATGTAATGTTTTCTGTAATGTTAATGCCCTGCCAAATTTTTGCCCTTGGGTATTTTAAATTGACCGGTGAAGGATTCACCTGTCTGTTGTTTTAAACCTTGCTTATATCGTACAAAGATCATAATATTTACCCATTGTTGGAAATCACTGTCTCTTTAAAGGTCCAGATTGGCAAGAATATATCATGTAGAACCTTCATAGCAAACTAGCGGTACCCTGGTATATGAAATTCGTCACAAATATGCTACGGCAATAAATAATCTACAATGTCTTTTGTTTACTTTGTAGTTCATGGCTGCTATGATCCAACCCGGAGGAGGCCGGAATGACATTCCTCAGCGTCTCAAGCGACAGTTTGTCATCATTAACTGTACCTTGCCCTCCAACTCGTCCATCGACAAGATCTTCAGCGTGATTGGATGTGGCCATTACGTCTCAGAGCGAGGCTTCAGTGAACCCGTCCGTGACCTTGTGAAGAAACTGGTTCCCATCACTCGTCGCTTGTGGCAGCTCACAAAGGTCAGGCCCTACACCTACGTGTCAAACACACTCAGGCCCTACACCCACGTGTCAAACACACTCAGGCCCTACACCCACGTGTCACACACACACAGGCCCTACACCCATGTGTCACACACACTCAGGCCCTACACCCACGTGTCACACACACACAGGCCCTACACCCACGTGTCACACACACTCAGGCCCTACACCCACGTGTCACACACACACAGGCCCTACACCCACGTGTCACACACACTCAGGCCCTACACCCACGTGTCACACACACACAGGCCCTACACCCACGTGTCACACACACTCAGGCCCTACACCCACGTGTCACACACATACAGGCACCCATGTGTCACACTCACTCAGGCCCTACACCCACGTGTCACACACACTCAGGCCATACACCCACGTGTCACACACACTCAGGCCCTTCATCCACGTGTCACACACACACAGGCTCTACACCCATGTGTCACACACACTCAGGCCCTACCCCACGTGTCAAACACACTCAGGCCCTACACCCAAGTGTCACACACACACAGGCTCTACACCCACGTGTCACACACACACAGGCCCTACACCAATGTGTCACACACACACAGCACTTCCCCAGTTACATCACTTCCATACTGTGATTTACATAATTATGAAATAAAAAAATAAATAATGAAAATTAAACAAAATCTGTTAGAATGAAGATAGTATTCTCTGTCGCTAATTACTTTATACAATTAGGCTTGTATTGCTAAAACGAACAAATTACTTACTGTCGTTAGATTTTATATTGAATTCATTAAAAGTACAGCAAGACCTGCCTAATCTGAAACCCTGTGGTATCAAACAAATTGCTTGGCTTAAACAAGGTATCAAAATTATTTGATAGTGTATATAAGATATGGAATTGCAGCTGTCAGCTTTAACAGGATTTTAAAATACTCAGAAGTTGAATTTGGACAAATTTATCTGTCTTAAATAAAAAAAATTGAGAAACTTTACGCTTTGGAATCAAGCTAAAAAGTGTTTCTTTTACCATTTTCAGATCAAGATGTTGCCGACACCAGCAAAGTTCCATTACATCTTCAACTTGAGAGATTTGTCCCGAATCTGGCAGGGGATGATCAATACTACTGAACAGGTGGTCAAGGCTCCGGAGACCATCCTTCACCTCTGGAAACACGAGTGCTGCCGTGTCATTGCAGACAGGTAAACAATGGAGACAATTCAATAAAACGTTTTACTGTCGGACCATATAAGGGAAACCTAGCCCAGATTTCACAGCTGTTTTCACATGACCTTAGCTGTTGACAGAACAAAAAAATCCTAAACACAAATTAAAAAAAAAAAATGAAAAAATGAAAAAATCCATAACACAAGGAAATCTTTAAACTTCAGTTTTTTAATAGAAAAACATTGCTGGGCAAATAAATTTAAAATGTTAATGTTAAGGAAAGTTTCCTTAATTCAGCAATGCCTGCCATTAGAAAAATGTTTAATTGAGATATTTTCTTAAGTTACAGAATGCACATAAAACATGGGTCTTGTGTTAATTACAATTTAAATACTGTATTTGATAATTCTGGGGGTCAGTTTAGATTTTGACCATTTGGATGTCTTGTTTTTATTGGTTTGTGTGAATTATATAATTATGTGCAATAATTATAGCATAATGTACTGGATGATAAGCTGAAATCAAATAAATTTTGATATAAGTTCATATATATTGTTTCTATTCGTACTTGTGAATGATATATCAGTACAATAATTAAATTTGAATTCTAGAATTTATACCTGTGATTGAAATATTTTATATAATACAATGTATTATAAAACCAGAAATTTCCGCCTGTTCCATTCTTGCCCTTATTCGCTGTTGAAGAAAATGTGAATTCAACACGGTCTGAAACTGTGATGTGTAAAGCTATACTACTTTAAAACAATATAAGGTTAAAATCAACTTTGGGTAAATTTGTTGTAAAGGGCCAGAGGGCAAAAATAAAGCAGATGAAAATGAAAAGGTTTACATTTTACATTTACAAGACAATAGTTAACGTAAAATGTCATGTAAATATTTGAATATTTTATACCATGATGTTATATAATGGTATAATGTATGCATACTCTTGGTTGTTATTTCTGTTTACTCCTCTTTCCTGTTTTATTTATGGTAGAAGGCTGTGCTGTTGTTTTGGTCCATTTTGGTCATTTGTCGAAGTATATATAGAAACAAGAGTTGGATGACCTCTAGATGACCTCTTTATGACCTCTAGAGTACTGTGGTGTAAGCAGAAGTCGTGTAATTCTACCTATCTAGTCTTACTCTGGTCTGTTAACGTCTGTATAGTGACTTGTGTTGTTAAGTATTCCTAGGTCTTATTGGACACAGTGGTCATGCAGTTTGATTGTCACAATGTCCAGTCTTGTCCATCCTGAGTGTCTATCTAGGATGGCACTAGTTTGGCTCCAGGTGACTCAATGTCCAGTCTTGTCCATCCCGAGTGTCTATCTAGGATGGCACTAGTTTGGCTCCAGGTGGCTCGATGTCCAGTCTTGTCCATCCTGAGTGTCTATCTAGGATGGCACTAGTTTGGCTCCAGGTTGCATGGTGTACCTGTTGGGAGTTTGTATAGTTGTGGAGTGTGGATCAAACATTCTCATAATGTCAACTCTTAACTCAGGACTCAGATAACTTTTAACTCATTTACCCCTGGAGACACATTTGAACTCTTCCAATCCAAAGGTTGGAATAGTTCATTATGAAATTTCAGGGGGTTAATGAGTTAAAATAGATTATTATTTAGACTAAATCTTATTTTCTATATCATATGTACAAGTTATATACAAGTACAGTTGATATGTACATACAAACAATATTTGACATTAGTTAATGACTGGTAAAATTCTCTGTCAAGTTATTTAATCAATAATCGTTTGTCTTATTGAAACAAAGTGTTTGCGGGACAGCATATAAGTTATTAGATAGTTATAAGCAGTCCTTTAAGAGTGGGGGAAACAAGAGTTCCAGAGACTATGTTGACAGTTTGAGAATGTAGCATGTGATTGGTCCATTACTATAAATCTTGCTTTGTGTCTGGTATATCATGTGTTTTGCATGGTGTGGTGTGCTAATGTTGGTACACACCTTTTCTCTGTCACAAAACTGTGTCCTGCACAAAAGGTGCTGACATAGTTTATAGATAGACGGTGTATTAGAGAGTTCACCATTTCTGATCTTATAATACGTACTATCCTAGCTACGGAATCCTAGAAGGTAGTGATGAGGCTCAGTGGATAGTGACATGGGTTTCTGGTGGGAGGGTCAAATATTAGCATGGCACCACTGTCACTGTTGCATATAGCTCGTCTACATAGCTACACAGACATGCATGAGTCTGTTCTCATTCACTGAAATTCTGGCAACTTCAGCTTGAATTTGCTATACTTATCTACTGTTATTTTAGAATAAACTCTAAAATTATATAAGAGTCAACCTTTCTGTAAACTATTCAAATATATATCATATCCATGATTTATCTGGAAACTATTAGTTGCACCTTTCAAAATTTTCCGCAGTATTATATACACTTTCACATTTTTACATTTTCGAAAATGTTTCAAACGATAGGAATACAATATTGTCCTAAGTGTGTCTAATAGACGAAGCAATGAATTAAGCTAGATGAGAGTAGACAATCTAGCTCTGCTGTTAATTGTATCGGCTATATTTTTGTCAGTTAATATTTATAGGCAGTACTTCAAAGTCAGAAAGATTTGACCTTCAGTAACTACAGAATTGCTTTAATTGAAATAAAAGTAACTGACCTTTCTAACTCATATACTGGACGTATGTCTTAAGTTCTTAACATTTGGATTTCAGTTCTTTATCTATCAAAAGTATGTGTGCTGTGAAGATTCGGGTTCTAACCAGAATGTGTTTACTTTGATGTAAACATACAGTGCTGATTAACTTGTATTAAACATGATTACAGTTCGAGATTACAAGATTTAATTTTGTTTCTGAAACTTATTTCAAACTAGCCCTTCTTAGCACTAGCTAGTCTGAATATCTTTGTAACTACCAACTTTTATTCAGTGATAAATTTATTTTCAAGTTTGTAGAATCAGCATATCATAAAAATGAAAATATCCTGTATTCTTTTTGTAACTGAGATACTGTATTTGATCTAGTAAGTGCTCTTGGCACTTAAAATTTGGAAATATAGAGCCTTTCCATTTCTCAAGAATAGCTGTCATTAAGTTGGTTAACTTTGGTGATGGGAGAGGGGACATGGATCAGAAAATAGGATACATGCTTAAGGTGCTGGTAAACTATTGGGCACTTATTAGATCTAATACAGTAGGAAATAAAACGATTGATGTTTATGATTTCTGTAAAATTTAATGTAGCCAAAAGTTAAACATGTCTTGAAAAATTCGATTTTTAATATTGAAAAGAATGCTTTATACATAACTATACATAATACTGTTCAGTTCCGAAAATTATGAATAAATGTTGGTTGATAAGACCAGGTACAGTTTTGCATGCACTGTAACTGGGATAGACCTGTTAGACACGGGGTTGCAAGGCTTTGTCTCTCCATACGGTCTGAAATGTGGTGCTGTGGAACAAAGTTGCTGGACCCCTTAGTTTAACTTATTGCATGTACTAGCAGTCTACACACTCATGGAAATGTCTTCAAGCCATGCCAGCTGTGTGTAATTACCAGATTGAGTTCTCCAGATCAGTCTTAATCTGGATACTTCAAATAAAGGGAATAAAAATTCAAAAAATAGAAGACAAGTAATAATTCTTGAATTATGGTAAAATCATTATTACTAATTTTCCATAAAAAAACATGAAGAACGAGTATTCTAATTTGTCAGCAATGTTCTATCAAAACATTTCCTTTTGTTATTACCCAAATAAAAGTTTCAGTGATAGGTTTTACCAGATAAAGATTGAAATAAAAAACTACATTAAAAGTTATTTGATGGCAAATGAACCATGAAAAGATGTTTTTTTACAGATTTTCAGAAATTTTGTCTTATTATTATTTTTACATCTACAAGGGTCAAGGTCATCGTTCCATTTCTTGTCGACAGTTATACATGGATGATGTCATCGGGAGACAGAACCCTTTTGCATTAGGGTATATAACATGAGATATATCAAAAACTTATATTCTGAACAGTCATGGGTTCATTGGGTTTAGTTTGAGCTAGCATCGTGAATCAATTATGGCTAATGACATCCATCATCACCAAAATTCTATTTTATTTTTTGTAGTTGATAAATACAATTTAAACAATTTTATCATTGTATTGTTATAAGATATGGATATAGAGGCACCCAATGCCTGTGTCCATTACCTTTCCTATTAAATCCTATTCCTATTAAAATATCTGTGTGCTAATTCCAAATAAAAAAATATACATATATATAATGTCAGTGATAATTTATATTTATGATGTGCAAAAGAGGTTGCACTGCTTGAGACTACCACTAACCAGGTATATAATCCCATAAAATCTATTTTCAAGAGTGTGACCTTGACCTTTATGAACATAATTTGAAGACATTTCAATGGAGTATGTAGTGATTGGTGTTTTAGTGTGTATGCTTAACTATAACTATGTGTTTTGTCTCAGCAGCTGACTTCTCTATACACATGTATAATCTTCAAGCGTGTCATCCTCTCTAGGTTTACGGGACTAGAGGACTTCAACTGGTTTACAAAAACCATGGTTCGCGTGGTCAGTGAAGAGCTCGGCGAAGCTAACGGAACATGTGTCGAACCTACTCACTATTTTGTTGACTTTCTAAGGTACAGTTTTGAGCCAATCTGATTGGTTCATGGCCATCGCCATGGTGACGAGGCACTCTAGTTGTGACAGTCTGCACTGTTGGTTTTCACTTTTTTGCTCTATGTTTTATTTTTGCATTTTATCCCTTTACTTTCCCTCCCTTCTATTTCCCTTCTGTTTTGTCTTCTGTTTTGTCTTTTGTTTTTCCATTCTGCACACATAAAACTTAACATCTTGAAAATGGAAACTTACGAGACTTTCAGGATTTTAGTATTTTTATCATAAAAGTGCATTTCATTTCGCATTATGGTTTTTGAAGTTAAATATCTAATGAAAAAATGTAATTTTACAAAATATTTCAAGTGATCATGGTATCATTATAATCGTGGAAGTCTCAGATGGTTAGCCGTGTTCAAAGTATCGTCTGCACATTTACGTAATTTTGTTTCCCTGGTAACCGTATCCCTCACTAATTTTAACCCCGAAACAGGTTTGTCCTTATGGATGACTATCATTGGTTTGAAAAAACAATACAGCGAATCATCGGTGAGGATCTCGGTGAAGAGTATCTAGAAACTACGAAAACAACGCCGTACTTCATGGATTTTATGAGGTATTGTATTGAAGTATAGTGTTCATAACGACGAAAGAAAATAAAAGGTACAGGGTAGTTGTGGTTATCAGACCAACAAACAGAACACACTAGGAAATAGATATTTTGAAAATAGTTAAAGTCGTAGGTTGGGAAACTGTTCTGGAAAAAGTTGCTATTTATGTCTATATGACAAGAAGTTGAAGAACCGGGAAAAACGTTACATTTTGGTGGCAGTGGTGGGTAAAATTGGGAAATTGCGTAATATATAGTAATTATTAAGTAATTAATACTTGCGAATACAAGGGGGTCGCTGGTTGTTTACTGATACAACACAGATAGGAAAGTCACCATGTTCTGCAGTTACAATTTATTTTCTCCAGAAAACTTCTATTTTATTTGTGTCATAAATTGACTCAAAGAAAGAGAACTCATTTAATTAATGGCTAATATTCTGTACTATTTGACAGATGCTTTCTGTACAACAGAAGTGAAACTGAGTTTTGCTATTTTTTTTTTAGATGTGAGCTTGATTTGTACAAGTAGTTGTTTGACCTATATATGTAGTAGCTTTGATTTTACACCAGTAGAAATTGATCATATCATTTGTTTCTATCATCAGAAAATTCAATTTGAACTCTATAAAAAAAATCAAGGAAAAAAAATCAGTATTAAAAAAAACACCTGAAAATGAACATGTGGGATTAAAGTCAACAGTATCTTTGAATTAAAAGAAAATTGCATGCAAACCAGTCTGTTGAGTCTGACAACATTAGAAGGAACAAATAACACTGTATATTAATTAATATGGAGGTCGTTATATCAGGATTTCCTTTTACCAGATTATTTAACATTTATTCAACTAATGTGACATCATTCATATTTCATTTTAACAAAACATTTCAGCCTGTAAAACGATCACATTTCAGGCAACATCGAATATAATCCCAGTTAAATTTTCTTTGGTTCTTTGTATTGTAAAATAATGATTGACAAATCCTGAGGTGATAGTACTAATGAATGTCCAGGGACCTAAACTGAAGGTCACTCCAGGGTCACGGAATAATCTTACAGGCCATGTATGCTTGGAGAATTTGCAATTATAAGGAAAGATGCTATACATTTTTTTTCAAATGTTTTTTAATGAAATTGTCATAATGTAAACCGTCGGGAGTGACGCTGTTGTGTTAAGTGATGCACCACACATTCCCTGTGTTAATTAATTACCTCCATTGCATGAAAACTAAATTGTGATTGTCTCCCCCTTTTGATTATGAGTTATCTATAGTTTTAAAGCAAAACTTCATGTGTATTTTTTTCTGAAGAATAGTTATAAAAAATTTGAATCAGGTTTTTGTACCAAACATACTCATTTCAATGTGCAACTTTGAAAAAAAAATGTTTTCATCTGATATGATTATTTTCATGTGATGAATCTTTTTAATATCATTATTGATCATGTAGTTAAACTATTACAAGTTTTTATGAGTGACATAAACTGCCTGTAATAAATATGATTAAGACCTGTTACACCTGTTGTCATGGTGTCATCCCTGTTGCTATAGAGATGCGGCTGAAGCTACAGGAGACGAACCTGAGGATGCTGACTTTGAGGCCCCCAAGGTTTACGAAGCGGTGAGACACTTTAATGATAATCACTTGTGATCTTTCAGGCTCCTTTAGGTTGAAATTTTTGTTTCTTTTTCTTTTTTCTTCAAAGAACGAAATAATTTACATACTGGGTCTAGACTATTTATCATGATGTTCTTATAATTATCGTTTATAACATGTAGATTATATTAAGCTTAATGCAATGTGTTTGATGAAAGCTAATTATGTATCTGAATCCAGACCCAATGCTTTTCTCTCTGATTTCAGTGACTGAAATAATAGTTAAAATTACATCACTGTTTTTCTGTTTTTCTTTTCTGGCTCATATTGAAGATTTTGTCACAGTCCTTTATACCAATAACTTAAACATAACTGTGATTTTATTTCAACTGTTTTACAAGGTTTAAATTTAACCCAAACAATTTTTATGGCTTCAGATCGAAGGTTTTGAGCAGCTTGAGGAACGGCTCCAGATGTTCTTGGCTCAGTACAATGAAGGTATTCGTGGCTCAGGGATGGACTTAGTGTTCTTCAAGGATGCCATGACCCACTTGGTGAAAGTTTCGCGTATCATCCGTACGCCACGAGGTCATGCACTGCTGGTGGGTGTAGGCGGCTCTGGGAAACAGTCCCTCACCAGGCTGGCCTCTTTCATTGCTGGCTACAAGACATTCCAGATCACCCTCACAAGGTAAATTCTTCCTCCACAGGGTCAACGATTAAACCTGCCCTGTATGGCCAATGTCTTTCTCCAGTAAGTCAGCCTGTAGACCAGTAACCCAATGATAGATTTCAAAAATTGACCTATGGGAAATATTACTCCAAGTAGCATTACAGATATGAAAATTGTTAACAGCATTTAAATGGAGTTTGTGAAACATTTTGTCATTCTGTTTCAGGTCATATAATGTGTCCAACTTACTGGAAGACCTCAAGTTCCTGTACCGCACCGCAGGGGCCCAGGGAAAAGGTATCACATTCATCTTCACTGATCAGGAGATTAAGGACGAGGGCTTCCTGGAGTATCTCAACAATGTCCTATCATCTGGTGTGGTCAGTACTCCTCCATCATACCTCAAAGAATTTCCATAGCAACCATACTTCTCATAGTTACCGTGTCAACCATATTGTTCATAGTTACCATGGCAACCATACTTCTCATAGTTACCATGTCAACCATATTTCTCATAGTTACCATGGCAATTGACAACCATACTCTGTATAGCTACTATAGCAACCATCATATTGCTAATGATAACACACTGAAAGCAACATTTTGATGACGTGGATTGCATAAAAAATAAATAAAAAAAGGTGACATTGGAATGTTAAGTTTAACCTCACATTTTTCAAAACTTACATATTTATATTTTGAGACAATTAATGAGGTCACTAATATTTTCATGGATATTGCATTGTCATGTTCCTGCAACAGGTAGCCAACCTTTTCGCCCGTGATGAAATGGATGAGATCATGGGAGAACTGATCCCCATTATGAAGAAGGAGTTCCCACGACGACCACCTAGCAACGAGAACCTGTATGATTACTATTTGATGCGTGTTCGCATGAACCTGCACGTTGTGCTCTGTTTCTCCCCGGTAAGTCACAGAATAAGCTCTAGTAACACGCATTGCTAGGGAGCCATGAGTAGGGTTGTATCCTGCTCCTGTTCTGTTTCAAAACAACTGAAATATAATATTTGTAGGTAGGTGGAAGTTAGAATTTACCCAGAAAAATTCAGTCTACAGTTTGTAATGTTGTTGGCTGTGGTGAGACATCATTTCATAATTCAATTATTTCTGAATGGAAGACAAATTGAATCTCAAATACATGTCCACAAAAATTCCAGTTAATATTACATGTTGACCACTGTTACAGGTCGGAGAAAAGTTCCGAGCACGCTCGCTGAAGTTCCCTGGTCTGATATCTGGCTGTACGATGGACTGGTTCCAGCGCTGGCCAAGGGATGCTCTTATCTCTGTGGCTGATCACTTCTTGGCAGAGTTCAATATTGAGTGTACGCTGGAGGTGAAGAAACAGGTCATTCAGAGTATGGGTATTATACATGATGGAGTGGCTGAAACCTGTGCCAATTACTTCCAGAGGTAAGCTAAAGTGATAGCGGAGGGTTGTTAGTGAGGTGGGGTACTGGACCTGGGTACTGTTTAGTCAGTGATATTTGGCATAGTCTTAAGCATAAAAGATTTCACCATATCATTTAGAATTAGAGCATGTTTGCAATACTGTTTAATCTTTTGATATGTTTGGTGTATTATTTATCATCATGAGATGTTAAGCATCAGAAAGTATTTGGTGTTTTTACTCTTAAGAGATATATTTAGCACAAAATTCAGTATAAGGAGATGTTTGGCTTACTATTTAGCATAACATTTAGCATTAGGAAATGATAAGCAAAACATTTATCATTAAAACATGTTTAGCATAGCATTCAGCATTAAGACATGTTTAGTATAACATTTATCATTAAGACATGTTTAGTATAACATTTATTATTAAAACATGTTTAGCATAGCATTCAGCATTAAGACATGTTTAGTATAACATTTATCATTAAGACATGTTAAGAATAGCTTCTAGCTTTAAGACATGTTAAGCATAACAGTGAGCATTAAAGCATGTTTAGCATAACATTAAGCATTAAAACATTTTCATTAAGACATTTTAGCATAAAATTTAGCATTAAGATATATTGAACATAATATACATTTAGTATTAAGGCATATTTAGCTTAACATTTAGCATTAATACATTAATAGTATCACCTTTAGCATTAAGACATTTATGGCATAATATTTAGCATTAAGACATGTTAAGCATATCATTTAGCATTAAGACATGTTTAGAATAACATTTAGCATTAAGACATGTTTAGCATAACATTTAGCATTATGAGATGTTAGCATTAGTATCAAGTGATATTGGCTTACTGTATACATTACATTTAGCTTAAGGATATATTTAATGTACACATTAGAAACAAGGTATCATTGGTTTGTTCAAGTTGAATTTACTGAGATATGTTGTGTTGTAGGTATCGACGCTCCACTCATGTGACCCCCAAATCTTACCTGTCCTTCATCAATGGTTACAAGACTATTTACTCAGATCAGCGGAATGAAATTGGGGAGCTGGCCAACAGGATGAACACAGGTAGGGTATGGTCCACCAGGAAAATGTACCAGTATCAATATCAACAGCATATTTTAAATTTCAATCAGAATTTTTAAAATTATAACGAAATCATTTAAAATGTCTGCAATTACTATACCTGTAGTAATGTAATTTATATAATTTCAATAACATAAGATTTATGATTAGCATTATATGATGACGAGGTGTGTATGTTTATTGTTACCAGGTCTGGAGAAACTGATTGAGGCCTCACAACAGGTCGCTCAGCTAAGTGAGGAGCTAGCCGTCAAGGAGAAGGAACTGGCCATCGCCTCAGATAAAGCTGATAAGGTGTTGGCTACAGTAACAGTCAAGGCCACGGCTGCTGAGAAGGTCAAGGCCCAGGTGAAGAAGGTCAAAGACAAAGCACAGGCTATTGTGGATGCCATCGAGGCAGACAAGGCCATTGCTGAAGAGAAATTGGAGAAGGCTCGGCCTGCCCTTGAGGAAGCTGAGGCTGCCCTCAACACTATCAAACCTGCAGATATTGCCACTGTGAGGAAGCTTGGCAAACCCCCACATCTCATTATGAGAATCATGGACTGTGTGCTTCTCCTCTTCCAAAAACGTATCAACACAGTTGAGGTGGATCCAGAGAGGCCAAATTGTAATAAACCTTCCTGGGGTGAATCACTTAAGGTCAGTTTGGTTTTCTCAAGGTCATTGTTGATTTCTCAAGGTCATTATAAATCACTTAGGTCAGTAAAGATCTATCCCAGTCAAATTTCCCGGTATACACTATAGAGTAACTTATGATGATCCGGATTAATTTCGTTTCTTTCCTGAATGCATTATGTGAAAAGAAGTCAGAGGGAAAGAAAAATACTGATTGAAATAATAATAGCATGTCACCATAATTAGTGCAAACATATTCTGAACTCATTCAAATACTCAATTATTCTCTTTAATTTTAGGCTTTGAAGACATTCATGTAAACTTTCTTGACTTTTGACGTTTTCCAGTTGATGTCGGGTACTAACTTCCTCATGACGCTTGTCAACTTTGATAAAGATAAGATAAACGACGAGGTTGTTGAGTTGATGCAGCCATACCTATCGATGGAAGATTACAATTATGAGACGGCCAAGCGAGTCTGTGGTAACGTGGCCGGTCTCTGCTCCTGGACGTTTGCTATGGCCTCCTTTTTCTCCATCAACAAAGAGGTTCTTCCTCTTAAGGTAGGTGTCTCACAGCTGACCTTTCCTTATAGTTCATCTGTTTTCCTGTTTCACCTTTTATCCACCTAATTAGGTTTTGATGTTGTTGATATGGAATTAATTTACCTTGTTCAGACTAAGATTCAGCCCCTGCAGATTAGGGATAAGAACTGGGCCTGTATTCATGAAACTGTTTTTCGTGCTCCAGAATTGATTTTGTGCTCAAGCCTGATTTCTTGTTCCGGTTATAACTCAATGAAAAGAATTTGTTTTGTCAATGATTTGGAAAACTTTGATGAGACTTAAAGTGGATTACTGTTTTCAATGTTTTTATTTGACTTTGAACGTTTGACATGACACTCATAAAGCAGATCTATGTCCATCCCTTAAATTCCCTGTATCAGAGGACAAAGTAATAAAGCCCCGAGTCAGCAAAGACTCCTTCGTTAGTTGTTCAGTAGGATAAAGTAGGTGACTGATGAGAAGGAGATGTGGTATGCTGAGTATCTGCCTGTAATTAAACCTGTTACTTCATTTTTCGTGCTTGTAGGCAAACCTGGCAATCCAGGAAGCCAAGTTGAATGCTGCCATGTCAGACCTGAACACTGCACAGGCACAGCTGGACGAGAAAGAGGCTGAGCTCGCCGAGGTCATGGCCATGTATGATGCAGCTATGAAGGAGAAACAGGTAAATATTTGACCTAAAAAACCCAATGATGTTTGGAACAGATTTTCTCCAAATAAATATCCCAACCAAATAGCAGTTTTGAAAAACCATGAAATAAAATGTAAGCATAAAAAAACAGTTTCAATGCACTCCATCAAGTGAATGCTAAATATGGTTTCAAACAGAGATTGGTGGACGATGCGGAGACGTGTCGTAGAAAGATGAATGCTGCCACTGAACTGATCAATGGTCTGGCTGGTGAGAGGAAGAGATGGACAGAACAGAGTCTGGAGTTCAAGGCACAGATTGGCAGGTAAGGGCAGACAACTCTATTGATAAATAACAAGGGTATTATTGGCAGACAACTTATAGTTAGGCTATACAATGACTGATTGGAACATGCATTTAGTCTTGATCAATTTATAATAAATTAGATTTCCAATATAGATTAAAGATATATTTGTATGTAAGATTCTGTGGCTGAGGCTTTCGTGTTTTTCACTGTTTCTTTTCTTTATTCATTCATAAAATGAAACAAGATTTTGCAAGCAAAGATAAGTGATCTACACATGTACAGTAAACCCTGTCTAACAGAATTGCAAATATAATACTGGAGGAATGTTTCTGGGGAATATTTGGAGGGGGGGATATGGTGTACAATATAAAATATTTTATAATATACTATCATGAAGAACAAGCCTTGTGTTTTATTCCAAGTATCACACAATCTTTAACATCCTTGATAACTCATAATCTCATGCCTGTGAATTGGATTTTCTACTGGCTGTAATCCTTCAACATGACTCTTCATAGTCAATTTAATCGGTACAGTATCAAATGATGTTGTCTATCGTCATCAAATCTTTCACAATATTTTGTATAAAATACAATATGTGTATGCCTGCTTGTTTGTTTCTATGTAACCGGTATGTCATTTTTTCTTACTGATGGGTATGCATCATTTGACATTGATTACAGACGTGTATGCTATTTGACCTTGATTGTACACAAATATGTATGTCATTTGACCTTGAACACACAAATATGTATGTCATTTGACCTTGAACACACAAATATGTATGTCATTTGACCTTGATCACACAGGTTTTTATGGCATTTAAACTTGATCACAGATATTCATGGCATTTGACCTTAATCACAGATATGTATGTCATTTGACCTTGATAAGGTGTATGTATGTGTCATTGGACTTTGATCACACAGATATGTGAATTGACCTTGTAATTATGTGTTGTTTGACCTTAATCACACATATGTTAATTGACCTTGTAATTATGTTTGTTTGACCTTGATCACACAGATACGGGAATTGACCTTGTACATATGTGTCGTTTGGCCTTGATTACACAGACATTTAAATTGACCTTGTACATATGTGTCGTTTGGCCTTGATTACACAGACATGTAAATTGACCTTGTACATATGTGTCGTTTGACCTTGATTACACAGATATGTGAATTGACCTTGCACATATGTGTCATTTCACTATGTTCACTATAAATTTAAAATGCATGACATCTCACATAAATATTTATTACTACCTCCTTGATTCTTTTTCAGTTTCAAATTAATCATGGTCATATTCAATCTGTACAAATGTAAACCTCTCACTTCTACACACTAGGACAAAAGTAATAGGTTTTGACATTTTAAAGGAAACAAAAGGCGAACTTTTAAACATTTTTGAATTTAAGTCATCAATATCTGACAATCACTTACAAGTATAGTGTGCTTGGTGATCAATTTCATTACTTTCAACTTCCGGAGAAACAAATATGATAAAACCTGCAGCCATCACTGATTTTGTTGTCCCACTATCCAGTTGTTTTGGAGATAGATACGTCTTTATCTATATACAAATGTTTCTGTAGTTTAACCATCACAAAATCTAGACACTTTTACCAGAAACATTATATGGCTCTGGCCTGATTATTAAGGCTCAACTGTTTCTTTGATTTAAATGAAAAAATATCATACCATACTACAAATCATGCCATTGATCGGTATATGATATGATACTACAAAGCATGCCATTGATCGGTATATGATATGATACACTTCTGTTTCACTAGGTATACATTATGTATGGTTATGTTACAGACTGGTCGGTGACGTCCTTGTCTGTACTGCCTTCCTGTCTTACTCTGGACCATTCAACCAAGACTACCGCCTGCTCCTCAGCAAAAACTGGTTCAAAGAACTCAAGACAAGGAAAATTCCATTTACACTTAACCTCAATGTCATAGACATGCTCACAGACCCAACCACGGTAAGTCTGGTACTGAAACGTCAGTGATTTGCTTAAAAACCCAACGGTAAGTCTGACTATCAAAAGTCAGTTCAACATTAACAATTTCTAAAATAATACTGACACTACAATGTCTGTGATCTGTTTACCAACCCCACAATAAGTCTGATACCAACCTTCAATAAGTCTGATACCAACCTTCAATAAGTCTGATACCAACCCAACAATAAGTCTGATACCAACCTTCAATAAGTCTGATACCAACCCCACAATAAGTCTGATACCAACCCCACAATAAGTCTGATACTAACCCCACAATAAGTCTGATACCAACTGCACAATAAGTCTGATAACAACCCCACAATAAGTCTGATAACAACCCCACAATAAGTCTGATACCTCCATGAATTGTCCTGCTTACCAAACCCACAATAAGTCTGATACCTCCATGAATTGTCCTGCTTACCAAACCCACAATAAGTCTGATACCTCCTTGAATTGTCCTGCTTACCAAAACCCACAATAAGTCTGTCAATTTAACTTCAAATACCTGATCATAATCTCTGCTACAATAATCAAGCCAAAGGAAAACCATGGCAACATTAATTATGCTGATTTTCAGGGGCAATCGTATAAGGTGGAATAAGTATTGTTAGGTTTTTAGAATCCTGACACAAAAACATGAAATAACCGAGAATTACATGAACGACTGGTCACGTTGATTAATAATAATCTATTTGCTATCAGGTTGGAGAATGGAATTTACAAGGTCTGCCAAATGATGAACTCTCCACACAGAACGGTATCATCGTTACAAAGGCAGCACGCTACCCTCTGCTCATAGATCCTCAGGGCCAGGGAAAGAACTGGATCAAGTCTCGCGAGGGCAAGAACGAGCTACAGGTCAGTCTGCAGTATACATTTGACATTTTGTGTCCTTTTTAAAAAAAAAATGTACGTACTCAAGTTTGGGTACGAAAGAATGCATAGACAAATCTTTTGAAAAGGAATTAACTTTCATTGATAAAAATAATTATGTAATTGTGCATCAAATATTTACTTACTTTCATCAACAATTGTTTTCTTATATCAACAAAAGCAAACAACATCTAAAATATACCACCATTAAGCCCATGTTTGAAACCCACCCGGGAGCTATTATATAAATACAATTTTGAAAGGATTTTGCTCGCGATACGACATTCATTAATCCAAAACTTAGTTTTTGCTCTGGCAAACAAATTCATCTGCGTAGCTCAATTTTATTGTATTTTATTGTATAGATCACTGCACTCAACCACAAGTACTTCCGTACCCATCTTGAAGACTCCATGTCATTGGGACGTCCTCTTCTGATTGAGGACATTGGAGAGGACCTTGACCCTGCCCTGGACAATGTCCTTGAGAAGAACTTCATCAAGGTTGGGTCAACACTGAAGGTGAAGGTTGGCGACAAGGAGTGTGACATCATGAAGGGCTTCGCTTTGTACCTGACAACAAAGCTTGGTAACCCGTCTTACACACCAGAGGTCTCTGCTCGTTCATCAATCATTGACTTTACTGTGACAATGAAGGGACTGGAAGACCAGTTGCTTGGACGCGTCATCCTCACAGAGAAGGCTGTAAGTACTCTGTCAGCTGGCTTCTACCAACTAGCATTGGAAGCATTATACTTGCCCATGTCAGCCATGAGGTCTAGATATTTGACAGCATTTAGACATCGGCGCGCTAGCTGATAGATACAGGTTTGACATCCTTGGTCAGAAGGGAATTGCGTCAACCAATTAAGCAAGATCCTGAAATGTTCATATACATGTTGTTAATTACTGGCGTAACCCTTGGTTAAAAAAAAGCAAAAAAACCCAACATTATTTTGATGATAAATTTGTAGTATTTATGTGAACCATTTTCCCAATATTTTTAATGTGTGTCTTTGTGTTGTAGGAACTGGAATCTGAGCGAGTGAAGCTGATGGAGGATGTACAATCCAACAAGAAAAAGATGAAGGAACTGGAAGATAACCTTCTCTACAGACTCACCAGTGTTAAGGTCAGTCAAGGTCACAGCTATATATATATTGATTGTAAATGTCACAAAGAATAATACCGCTGACTGTTAAAATAGCACCTTTTCAGTTCATCCAGGTCACAAAATCTCTTGATAACTTGCATTATACACCTGTACATGTCGACTAGAACACAGGAATGATATTGATGTAAAGGATCACAAACTGCTTTACTTTAACCTTGTCTTATAGGGATCCCTAGTGGATGATGAGGATTTGATCAATGTGCTGAATGTGACCAAGACGACCTCCGTTGATGTCAACTCTAAGCTTCAAACAGCAGCTGAAACTGAGATCAAGATCACTGCAGCTCGTGAGGAGTTCCGTCCGGTAGCAGCACGTGGCTCCATCCTGTACTTCTTGATCGTGGAGATGGGACTGGTCAACTGTATGTACCAGACGTCCCTCAAACAGTTCCTGCATCTGTTTGACCTGTCCATGGCAAAGTGAGTAGTACTTCCTGTACAGGGTTAGATGGGTGGGTCCTGTAAGTCAATGTAGTGAGGTCAAGTTCTTGTCAGTCAAAGGTGTGACATGGCTAGTTGTTAGGTCAAGGGCATGCAAACAAAGGTCAGATACAGGTGAACTGACTGTGGAAGCACTTATATCTGACCCCTTTAATTTTAAAATTATTGAGATAGGTAGGGGAATTAAAACGATCGACAAGTAAATTGTAGAAAATGACATACGATATGTAAGCATTTATAACTGTCAAGTAAATTGGAACAACTAATACAAACTGTAACTGATCACTGTTTTTTCGCAGGTCCCAGAAATCTCCCATCACCCAAAAGCGTATCACCAACATCATTGAGTACATGACATTTGAGGTGTTTAAGTATGCCTCCCGTGGCCTGTACGAGACAGACAAGAACACTTTCACCCTTCTGCTCGCTCTCAAGATTGATCTGGCTGCCGGCAAAATCAAGCACGAGGAATTCCTCACCCTTATCAAAGGTGAGTTCACAACCCTAAACACCGTCAACCTAAAGTAGGTTTCTTTTGCCAACAATTTATTTACAGGGATTTGCCATTTTTGAATTCGCAAAACAACAGTATTATATATATATATATCTGTTGCTCGATTGTGCTGAAATAAATATTTATGGAATATTTAAATTCATAACCTATTCTCTCCACAAATTAACAAAAATAAATGTGAGCAGTTTAAAGTGATCACCCATTTCAAGAAAAATGTTATAAAAATATAAAATATTCATCATAAATTTGTGATTCTTGTGTAGTGTTAAATATTTTGTAATGAAATGTTACTGTGTGTTTTGTATTCAGGTGGTGCCTCCCTTGACCTGAACGTGGTCCAGCCAAAGCCACACAAGTGGGTGGTAGACTTAACCTGGCTTAACTTGGTTGAGCTGAGTAACCTGCATCAGTTCTCCGGTATCCTGGAACAGGTGACCAGAAATGAGAAACAATGGCGCCACTGGTTCGACAAGGATGCTCCTGAGGAAGAGATAATCCCCGACGGTTATAACAATACCCTCGATGTGTTCCGTCGTCTGTTGCTTGTGCGGTCGTGGTGCCCAGATCGTACCATGGCTCAGGCACGAAAGTACATTGCAGATACACTTGGTGATAAGTACGCCGAGGGCGTTATCCTTGACCTTGAGAAAATGTGGATGGAAAGCAATTGTAGGTCACCTCTCGTGTGCTTGCTATCCATGGGTTCTGACCCCACCACCCTCATAGAGGCCCTCGCAAAGAAACACAAAATAGGTAAGATTTGTACCCTCATAGAGCTCCTCAACAAGAAATCAGGAACACATAGACATTGTCCAGCTTATAATTAGAGGTTCTTGCCAGTAAAACCTTTTAATAAATATCTTGTTTATCTAAGAGTCTCTGTAGGAGTAGAAATGAAATTGAGAATTTTCATATCTTAACCCATTCACCCCTAAATCACATTTGAACCTTATGACTTACCAAATCAAAGACTTGGCAAGTCCATTTGAAAAATGTAGGGGTTGAATGAGTTAAATGAGTTCCAGTAACAGAACAAACTTGTTATATGGAATCAGATGAAATAGGAACAAGATTAAGATTAATTTTATTGTTCAATTTATTCAACTACTTAATGAGGATGGTATGCACTCCAACTGGTCCTTAACCTTACCATGCTTTGACCAACAGGGTCCAGGTATTTTGTTGTTAAAAAGTAAATTAGCACTTTATCACTACCTGTGACGTCACAAAGAGTGGTAGTACAAATGTTCAAAACTTTTATGGGATAGTATTATTACACTAAATATTTGCCAGATCACATAAGTATAAACATTTTGTGTCCATAGAGTGCCGTGCCATCTCTATGGGCCAGGGACAGGAAATCCACGCCCGCCGTATGTTGACCCAGGGGGTCCAGGGCGGGGGCTGGCTGATGCTTCAGAACTGTCATCTCAGTCTGGATTATGTACAGGAAGTCCTGGACCAGCTTATTGAGATTGAGAGCATTCATGAAGAGTTCAGAGTGTGGGTGACAACAGAGGTCCACCCTAAATTTCCCATCAATTTCCTCCAGGTAGGTCATATTTGCACCTTCTATTAACATTTATGGTGATAATTGAATTGCAAATGTAAGTAATGAAGTTTAAAAGGATCAACCATTCTGTCAATCACAAACATTGATTTGTTTGGACATTGACCAAACTTTAGGTCAGATTGTTTATTTGGTGGGACTTGATATGAAGGATGTTTGAGACACAAGTCACTTCTATCAAAAAATTGAATATTTTCCTTGAACAATATCCAGAAGGGGATATTTAGTAATGCTGTGTATTTGAAGTAATGACCAGACATGTGCTTGAATGATAAATGATGACCAAAATAATCGGTTTCACTGCGATTGACATCTGACAGTCAGGTTTCACTATACTGATGTTAGTAAAGACAGGTTTCACTGTACACTGATGTCAGTAAAGACAGTTTTCACTGTATGCTGATGTCAGTAAAGACAGTTATCACTGTTTGCTGATGTCAGTAAAGACAGTTTTCACTGTATGCTGATGTAAAATGTAAGTAACAAAGATGACTTTGTTTTACAGATGTCTATCAAATTCACCAATGAGCCTCCACAGGGTATGAAGGCCGGTCTGAAGCGTTCGTACGCAGGCATGACGCAGGATTTCTTAGACATTTCCAATATGCCACAGTGGAAACCCATGCTGTATGGAGTTTCCTTCCTCCACTCTGTTCTACAAGAGCGCAGAAAGTTTGGACCCCTTGGCTGGAACATTCCGTACGAGTTCAATGCAGCCGATTACAACGCTAGTGTTCAGTTTGTACAGAATCATCTTGATGACATGGATTTGAAGAAGGTACATTGATAGATATTAAGGACCTATCTAAGTTGATAAGAAAACAATTGAAACTGGAAGCACATTTTTATGGATCAATTGAATAACATACATAAAAACATTTCCCAATATATTTTTAAAAATTTCAGATCTGTTAACCTTGCTATACTGCCATCATTTGTCCAGAGAAGAATTGGCATTATGAAGGGGTTTGGCAAATTATTGAGGAAAACTATAGACACCAAAAATTTGTAAGAAATCTTAGGACCATATCAAATTTGAGCGAGTGGACAAATGGTACAAGGGGCATTATATCTTGATTTTACTGAATTCCAAACCCTAGCAGGTTTGGGTGCTGGAATGTGGTATTACTTGTATTACAAGTATCGAGTCAAATATTTCTACCGTTACAGGGATGAGCAATTTTGTGTGTTTTACCTTACAGGGAGTGAATTGGACGTGTGTGCGTTACATGTTTGGAGAGATTCAGTACGGAGGTCGTGTGACTGATGATTATGACAAACGTCTACTCAACACATTCTGCAAGGTCTGGTTCGGCGAACAGATGTTCCAGTCCAACTTTGTGTTTTACAAGGGATATGTAATCCCGAAATGCAACAAACATGCCGAGTACCTGGAGTTCATCTCTGGGCTCGCAACAACGGACACACCAGAGGTGTTTGGTCTTCATGGCAACGCTGATATCACGTGAGTCACCCTCACTATAGAAATCCTTATCTCCAATAGTTTGTAACATCATTTCTAAACAGCTGTAGTTGTATTTAATAAAGTTTATATAGACACAAAAGTTTTCAACTTTTCCTAGCTTACTGAAAATAACATTTAAAAAAAAAAGACACAGGATGGCACTAAAACCTTGGGTAGATAGAAAAAGATTATTTTTTGGCCTTATATATTTCTGTTGTTTTGCTCCAGGTACCAGAGTCAGACTGCCAAGTCTGTCCTCGATACAATCCTCGAGATCCAGCCCAAGGATAGTAGTGGTGGCGGCGGTGAGACGCGTGAATCAGTTGTCTACCGTCTCAGTGATGACATGTTGGACAAACTTCCCAATGACTATATATCTTATGAGGTAAAGGCCCGCCTCCAGAAGATGGGTCCCTTCCAGCCGATGAACATCTTCCTCAGGCAGGAAATAGACCGCATGCAGAGGGTCATTGCTACAGTACGCATGACCCTTCATGACCTTAAACTGGCTATCGACGGTACCATCATTATGAGTGAGAATCTACGAGATGCCCTCGACTCCATGTACGATGCTAGGATACCCAAGCTATGGCAGAAGGTATGTGTAACTACTGCATCCCTAAATCTGTGATATATAACCTAGGACCTTTCTACCAGGACTAGCTTCTGAACATTGTGTAAATTACAATGACTAGGTCATTTGTTTGTTTTGGAAGTGACAGATTCCCTAAATTCCTGAACATGGCGTTCTACATGTAGGTTTGTTATGATATTAATGGCCACATCTTTTAAACATCTTGGTTATAAACATTTAAGATTAAATTGAAACTCAACCTTAGATTTTCAAGTACATTTTGTGTTTTCAACTGTTGATTTACTTTCAGATTTCCTGGGACTCAAGCACCCTTGGGTTCTGGTTTACAGAGCTGATTGACAGGAACACTCAGTTCAGCAGCTGGTGTTTTGATGGTAGACCTAACACGTTCTGGATGACAGGCTTCTTCAATGCTCAGGGATTCCTTACTGCTATGAGACAGGTATGTCAAGGTTAAAACTAAATTATCATTTCTGTAAAAGGTTAAGGTTCACACCATCATCTCTGTACAAAGTCAAGGTCACATCATTATCTTTGTACAAAGTCAAGGTCACATCATTATCTCTGTGCAAAGTCAAGGTCACACCATCATCTCTGTACAAAGTTAAGGTCATACCATCATCTCTGTGCAAAGTCAAAGTCACCCCATCATCTCTTACGAAGTCAAGATCACACCATCATCTCTGTACAAAGTCAAGGTCACACCATCATCTCTGTACAAAGTCAATATCACACCATCATCTCTTTACAAAGTCAAGGTCACACCATCATCTCTGTCCAAAGTCAAGGTCACACCATCATCTATGTACAATGTCAAGGTCACACTCTGTACAAAGTCACGGTCAACCCCGCAGGACCAACCTCACATACATTGCTGCTGTAATCCGTAACACCAAACAGTCAAGGTCGCATCTTTTTCTCTGTACAAAATCAAGGTCACACCATCACCTCTCTAAAAAGTCAAGGTCGCATCTTTTTCTCTGTACAAAGTTAATGTCACATATTTAACTATGAACTAGTCATTATTACAACATAATCTCAACAAGACAATGTTGCAATATGAACTCTGTTTCAAAATAAGGTCAAAATTTCATATGAAATCAAGATTAAACTTTTGTCTCTTAAGAAAGTCATTGGAATGCCATTTCATCTGTAAACAGCAAAGTATTACTCGCCTCTCTACTAAGTCAAGGTAACTTAACTTCTTTGAAAGTCAAGGACTTATGAAATCATTGTTTTGATCTGGTTTGGAAATGAAAATTTGATGGTGTCATTAATTGTTACAAAGACTTCAGTACTGTAAGTTCCTAAAAGGAGTATGTGCTACCATGAACAAAGAATCTGTTTTATTTTAACAGGAAGTGACACGTGCTCACAAAGGCTGGGCTCTGGATAGTGTCATCCTTCACAACGATGTGACCAGATATAGCCGTGACGACATCACCACCCCACCTTCAGAAGGTGTTTATGTCTACGGCCTGTTTCTAGAGGGCGCCGGCTGGGAGCGACGAGGCTGTCGCTTGATTGAACCCAAACCCAAAATATTGTTTGAGACGATGCCGGTAATCCACATCTACGCCATCAACAGTACTGGAAGCACTGACACGCGCATGTATTCCTGTCCGATTTACAAGAAACCCCGCAGGACCGACCTCACATACATTGCTGCTGTAAACCTGAAGACCAATCAGATCCCAGATCACTGGATCCTCCGCGGAGTTGCTCTGCTCTGTGATACAAAGTAGACCGAGCCCACAGACACAAATTAATAACTATACAAATTTACAGCAAAATAAGACGTCTACAAGGCGAACGCTATTGGATTAACATTCCGAACAAACATGTGACAAGATTCTGTGATAATGAACATTATATATACAGGACATTGTCTCTAGTGATAGTCAAATATCTGTTTCTTATAGTTCCAGATAATTAGGTTAAATTAACTCGGAAGGGAAGGCCTATGACTATAAACCAAAGAATGTATATAGATATGACTTGCTAGCTGGTTTTGATACTTTATATATCCATCCTGGTGTCAGTGTCCGTCCTATTAATTGTGATAAAATGTTTATGCCTTTAGTATGAGTAGATCAGAATTGCGTCCAACTGAAGCCTTTGTGTAATAATTATTAGATATTTATGTATTTTTTTATCTTGTCTTTTCATTAACTACCATAAATGCATTAGATACATCCGTCCCGTCCCCCATGTGATACAGTATCAAATGGCTATTTCTTGCAGTTATTTAACTCATTCACCCCTGAAATTTCATAATGGACTATTCCAACCTTTGCATTGGAAGAGTTCAAATGTGTCTTCAGGGGTGAATGATTTAATATATTATTATATAGTCAAAGTTATCAATGACATTTAACTGATATTATATATATATGATGAAATTTTGAACACTTCAAACACTAGATTACAGAGAGTGCCCTGTTTGGAATTCCTAAAACTTTTCAATTTACTTTTACATTTGATTAAGAGTCGTTAGTTTAATGAGTCATTATCATATATTCCGTCCTGTTATATAGAAACTAACCTGAATAAACTAGGTATTTGTAGTATGCATATATTTTTATTCCAAAAGTGACCAGCCTCTATGATTATCATTACTAGGTACTGTGCTCTATGATTACTATGATTATCATTACTAGGTACAGCTCTGTAACACTGAACTATCAAGACTACATATATATACATCTGGGGAAAACTGATCAGTTCTAGATTCTGAGTTTATTGGAGTTTTCGGAAAGATACTCTAATGAATAGTAAATACTGCTGAAATACTTCTTTGCGTTATTTATGCTAAAATATACAATTCTAACTACTAGGAGCTTTTCCATTACAAATTAAAAGCTACTTTAAATGTTGTTCTTTGATCTATTAATGTAATTTTCAAAGAACAGGGAAGGTTAGTGTCTGTGATATATACAAATGTGATGGCCTCAGATTTCTCTCCAGACTGTACGAGTTATCTCCCTTTGACCAAAGTTTCCCCTCTGTGTAGTCTATCTCTATGTTTATCAATAATAATTATTTCTCAATGTTCCATGTTATTTATATACAAATGCCATTTTTTGGTATCTTGGCTATAGTTGTTTAAAATTTGTTAGAAAATAAAAAATATTCCATCAAGTGAAAACTGATCTTTGTTGTTTTTCAGACTCCGAGTGATGAGTAATATGAAATAAACATTTTCCACGGAATCCTTTTATCTGACAATACCAGAATACAACTAGTCCAGATTTACAGTTTGATTTGAAATCCTTCAGAACTTAAATCAAGCATTCATCGCTACAATCTAGCTATTGGATTCTTTTTGTGGTTAAATCATTAGCTAAAATTGTGGCGTTTTCAGAAACCCTGCTATCTTCTGTCCATTATATCGAGCTCTTTGGGAATACTACAGACGCATTTGTACAGTTTGAGATATGGGTAGGCTTAGCCATTCAAACAGAGAAGGAATAGTACATAATTGACTATAAATAGATTTCATAAATTATGAAAGAAGTCGGTAATTCACTATCACAAATTTGTTTTATTTAAAAATGCATGTTCTCTAGATTAAAATTACTCGGTAACAAATCTTAACAAAGTGGATATTCTCACTCTTGCTCACATCTTAACTTCATTCTCGTATATTACATGTAAACAAAGACACAGCAGTCTCATTAATTCTAACATCTAAACAAAGACAACATTTTCTCTTACCCGGGACAGGTGTATCCACACTTTCACCGTTGTGAGATATCCTTGTCTCACCCTAGGGTTGAGAGGGGAGGATTCTCTTATTCATAACATCATGTCAACAATACAATGACATCACGTCAGCCCTGAATTTAGCCTGTAATATTATCATTACATTATGTACATGATCACAATGGGAGAATAGGGTAAGAGAAAAAGAATCATTCACCCCCTTGAGATGAGATGGGGGAATCTCAACCCTCGGGTAAAGATTCTTAAGATTCCCCTATCTCGCCCCCAATGGGGTGACAGATTCTATTACTCATTTATTTCTCGCATTTAAACAAAGACATTCTCATTCACAAATGTTTCATGATCTAATTTTCTGAACTTGGTGAAGATGATCTGAGAGTTGACACTCTTAGAGATATGTGTTTTGTATAGGTCAAAATGATCATGTGCATTCATCTCAAAGTCAACCAAATACTCCAAGCTGTTTAGAAGCTTTGAAATAGTCAAAGTACAAGTTTTCTCCTTACTGTTGATTAAAGTGTTATCCTCTGAAGAAAAACTGGACATAATTCAGAATATACTTTTCACAGTCACAGCCCTCAAAAGATAGGTGACTGTTTTTTTCATCTGCAATTCTCGGAGTCTCCTTGAAATCGACCTGTAACCAGGTGAAGCGTCTCTCTGCTGACGGTCAGCGGTATGTCGGGTCAGCGGTATGTCAGGTCAGTGGTATGTCAGGTCACCTGAAGGGAAGTACTCATCCTGTTAAGGGCATTCATTCCATCATGGTCCGTTCTCCTAAATATACTTTGATCGTTTCGCTGCAATTTCTCTTTCCTGCAGAAAGATATTTACATAAATAAGAAGAGTAGGTACATTGCATGTCAAAATGGCAAGTGTTATATATACTGTATACTACAGATTATCGAAGTAGTGATAATTGATAATGATTTATATGTCCGTTTGATCGCTAATCATTTTAATAATTTGCTCTCATCGGGGACACACTTGACACAAAAAACGTGAGCATTTGATTATTCTAGATACTCTGGAAGTGTATATCATGATGCTAGTAACTCGAAAATTGTTTTCAATATCTTGAATTATGAGAAGCCTATATATACAATGAATACACATAAACATGTATACGTATAATTTCATTCTCATGAGAGTATATTAAGCCTATGACGAGCTTCAGCCAGAACTTGAGAAAAGACTCGTTGGAAAGGGTATAAATCATAATCAACCAACAAAAGTTAGATAACATGTTTCTCTCATAGCTCTGAGCTCAAATGACACTGAAACACCAAAATTACCGGAAAATAAAGCACAGTAACTATATAGAGCTAGAAACACAGATAGGATACTTACTGTACCAAACTGGTAAAAGTGTGGGGCGAGCTCGGCCAGCCAGCCAGGCTTGATGACCGTGATGTCTCTCATGTAGTCCTTGCTGGTCTGAACCACTTCATTGAAGACAACCCTGGAAACACAAAATATCTACAAGGTACATAGAACTATACTAATTGTAATGACATTTATTGGAAATCACTTGTATTTCATGAGCAAGATACAAATTTTTGCACTATTTTATGAGATTGTGGAGAGAATCGGCTACAGGCTAAATCGTTTTGCGAATATTCATTAAGGTCATTGGAGTGTATTGATAAACAGAAACAGGAAGTACATCCCTACTTGAAAATCCAATGTAGGGAGACAGTATCACAATATCCGCAAATTCTAATGTTTAATATTAAACTGATGATTATTGTATGTTTATTATTGACAGAACAGTGTGTTCTCTCAATATTAAAGTATTTCAAAGCAATCCAGGCATTAATTCAGGTGTTTTTTTTATCAATGAGTCACATGTGTCCATTTTTCTGTACTTCAGGAACCCGGCTACCTATTTCACTTCTGTGAAGTTTTTCAAGAACGATAAGTCTTACTATATGTGTATATGGTTTTATTATAAAATGTCAATTTTTATATCGTGTATAGAGAATTAATTTTACACAATTTCAGCATTTATTAAATTGATATACATTCGTGCAATACTAATATATGTCAGTATCATTTTTATTGACATTATTTTTTAAAAATATTGTCATTCACTCCTTTTTACATAAATTTCCATTTAAAATCCTTAAAATTCTGACAACCTATATTTTCTTTGTGGCAGAAAATTTTCTTAACTTTAAAGCAATATAACTACAAAATTTGAAGAAATTCTACTGAGAAATGGTGACACAATCCTATTACCTTAAGTAAGAGTGTTCCATCACTTCTCTCCTATATCTAGGCCTTGGACATTTATTTTCCTGTTAAATTTATTTTCCTTACATTCATACAGATATTTGTAGATTGCAGGCCTTTTTTGGGGAGTAAGAACAGTTTTAAATAATCCTCAGTACTGCTACACAAAAATAATTAATAATACCCTAACTAGAAATTCAATGGATGAGCTCCCTGCTTTATAACCAAGGGGTTCAGTGATCAAATCTCCATGGCAGTGATGTTTTTGTGGATTTCATATGTAGTTCTTTGCAAGAGTAATTAGGCAGGCATCTCCAATTCATAAAAAAAGATGCTGAAGAAATAAGAACTCTTCTTCATTGGAGGTTGTATATGGAGTACAGTGGGACTCTCTACTTTAAAGACACTTCTAAACATGAGGTACATATAGACATTGTTGTTTTCTAAATTATGAGCCAAGATCCTCAGGAACACATAATGCTTCTGCCTCCCATTTTCCTGTTGGTCCATGATGTTCTTCTTTTGTCGTGGTGTCTTCGATCCTTATTTCTTCGTTTTGTGGGAAAAAACCCATTTACCATTGGATTTGTAGATCAATAAGATTCAGACGACAGATACAATAATTGATTATATTTCATGTATGCTGATTTTTGTGAATTGAAATCTTGTGCTAAATATAAGTAATCTATAGTACTTTTAATGCCGTATGCATCATAAAACATTTCTTTTACATCAAAGTAAACAGTCTGTGGAGTGGGAAAGCTGCAGACCAATCCATAAATCGTGGGTCCAGTACTAGTAAATCATTGATAGAGTGAGAAAAAGTATTTGTTATTGCTGAAGCTGACATAATTAGCTTGGAGCTGTTTGTGTGAGTAAACAGGAAGGGGCCAACACTGGCAGGTTACCGTGGGGACAATACACACACTGACCCTCCCAAACATTCATCAACACCAGACTGTATACAAATGTTGTATAATAATTAAACTATCAATCAACTTTCGTCTCCTGTAGATCAGATTTCCATTTAAAAGCATGTATTACAACTACAAACCTGCCCGAGCTATATCGACATACTGAGCGGATTTACTGAAAATTCTATGTTTGTTAATTTCAACAATTAATGAAAGTCAATATAATATTGATAAACGTTAGTTTAATCATACATTGATTTGTTTGATAATTAAACTGACAATGTCTACATTTGACACATCTTCAATTAACAACTTGTCAATTTCATTCATAATGTTTACAAAGAATTAAAAGCCTACTTCAAACAATCAATGATGATATACTCAATTTGACACTGAGGTGATGCACTATTGAGGATGGGTTCGGGGCTTTATTATATCCTCACAGCCCAGACAAAGGTCCTATATAGTTATAGTCACATGGTAACAATCTGATTTCTCAAAGACGGGGCAGTTCTAGGGCGGATAGGGTGGAGTGGGCGATAATATCAAGCAGGCATTTTCTACAGACGGGAATGGTGATCATCCCTGACTGACCGATATTCTGACAGCAGACACTTACCATTGAGGGGGTTCTCCACAGGGAGGATAGAAGTTAGGTCGATGTGGAGGGGTGTGTGTGGGTGTGTGTGTGGGGGTGGGGTGGGGGTCATCTCTGACTGACCGATATTCTGACAGCAGACACTTACCATTGGGGGTTTCTCCACCACAAGGAGATAAGTTGGGTGGATGTTGGAGGGTGAATTTCATGAAACAGACACTAATGAAGGGCTTCTTTATTAAGAAGTGAGGTTGGTGGTAAATATAACAAGAGGCCCAGAGGGCCTGTATCGCTCACCTTGATATCTAAGCAATCATGGCAAAATATTCTCCAAATGATATCCAAGGGAATATGCCAGATCCCAAGGCCAATCCTCGTAGCATATCTATATTAAATTTTTCATGCCCAGCAATTTTATGTATGGTTATGGGGTGGGAATCTCAACTGTTTCCCCAGCCCCCTGGGGCGTCAGCCCAACCATTTGTACAATTTTGATTCCCCAACACCTAGGGATGCTTCCAGTCAAATTTAGTCAAATTCCAATCAGTGGTTAAGAAGAAGAAGTCGTTCAAAGAAATTGTTGACGTACAGACGACTGATGACGGACGACGGCAGCCGAAGGACGCCACAGTATCGCATAAGCTCACCTTGGTCCTTCTGACCAGGTGAGATAATAACTAGAAAATGTTTGTAAGACATAAATGCCCCCGCTGGCATGTGAAATTAGTTTCAGTGTTCTATAAAAAGTTACAACCACTTTGATATTGATACCCTGAAACATGCACACACACAAGGTACTACACTTAAAGTTGATAAGTTGATTTTAACATTCATATGTTTTTTCTGTATGTTATTACCATCCTGAAAATAGTTTAAATTGAATCAGTTGATGATTTTCTATATATAGCAACAGTGACCGTGGCCTTGACCTTGAATCCCTGAAACACAACGATGTCCGAAGTATACTCATACTTGACTACCGCCCAGTTTCAAATCTGCCTTTTCTGTCTCAAGATCTTGGAGAAGGTTGTGTCCCGGCGTTTAGAGGTTCATCTCCATGCAAACAGTCTCCATGACAACATGCAATCGGCCTACCGCATGGGACACTCTACTGAGACGGCCCTCCTACGTGTACATAGTGATATAGCTTCTGCATTGGACAAGTGCAGAGCGGTGCTTGTCATGCTGGACTTGTCAGCTGCATTTGACGTCATCGACCATGGCATACTTTATAAACGTCTGGAATACTCTTACGGAGTTACTGATACCGCACTATGCTGGATACAGTCTTATCTGAGTGAACGACGACAATGTGTTGCCATCAGGTCTGCCACCTCACATCACAAAGTACTAGATTTCGGGGTTCTTCAAGGGTTGGTGTTAGGACCACGAAAATATTGTATGTACTCCAAACCGTTTAGAGAGATTTGTCGTCGCCATAGCCTTCGCTATCATTGCTATGCCGATGACACACAAATTTACATGGTCATAAAACCACAGGACAGTTGGAATACAGTCTCAGAAAGTCTGGAATCTTGTCTGACAGATATCAGTATCTGGATGAACGCCAACATGCTTAAACTTAATCAGGAAAAGACGGAACTAATCGTCTTTTCCCCAAAGTGTCAGCAAACAATGGCTCTCCAACTCAAGGTTAGTGCCAGAACTATTGAGACTGTTCCAGCTGTTAAAAATCTAGGGGTATACTTTGACAGTTCTCTTAACATGAAGAAACTAGTGAACGCTATTGCCAAATCCTGTTACTACCAGATCAGGTACATCGGATGTATTCGGCAGTTTCTAACTGCAGATGCATGCAAGATTTTGGTGCATTCACTTGTTACCTTTCGGTTGGATTATGGTAACGCCCTGCTCTGTGGTATATCTGACAAACTAACTAGTCGTCTGCAGAGGGTCCAGAACACTGCAGCACGGCTAGTTACTCATACTCGAAAGAGAGAGCACATCACACCTGCGCTTTATTCGTTGCACTGGTTACCTGTACGATACAGGTCGCAGTACAAAATTCTGGTATACACATACAAGGCACTGAATGGAACAGCTCCTCAGTACCTAAAGGAGCTTGTTACCCTGTATCAGCCATCAAGATCACTGAGGTCGGAGTCAGAATCTTTGTTGTGTGTCCCAAAATCTTGTACTGTGACCTACGGAAACAGATGCTTTGTGAGGGTTTTGGCTACGTTGTGGAATAGCTTAATTACCATCTGCTATTAGGAAGTCAAATACCCTGGCCAAGTTCAAGAGGGACATAAAAACTCACCTCTTCACGTCTGCTTTTTAGAATCTTTGCAAAGACGTCATGTAAATACCACCCTTTTATTTGTTCAATTATGTGCACATTGTTTGTTAAATGTATGAAAGTGATTGCAAGCCTTTGTTGTTTGTTTTCACAATTATAACCATTACTATTATCCATATGTTGTAAAGCTCCTTAGAGTAATTTTACAAATTATATAGGGCGCTATATAAATGTTGTATATTATTATTATTATTTTGACCTTTGTATCAAGTTTGACCAATATCTGTCAAAGAATGAAGTTGCCAAATGTTTACATTGAATCGGGACAGGACGGGCAGACATGGGCAACACTATTACATGCGCCCCCCCCCCCCCCCTTTATTTTATGGAGGGTTGTACATTTGTATAAAGTTTGACAAAAATCTGTCAAAGAATGAAGTTGCTAAATGTTTACATTGAATTGGGACGCGACTGACAGGAGACATTTACCATTGGGGGTTTCTCCACAGCCAGGACAGAGGTTAGGTGGATGTGGAGGGGGTGGTCATCCCTGACTGACCGATATTCTGACAGGAGACACTTACCATTGAGGGTGTTTCGCCACAGCAAGGACAAAGGTTAGGTGGATGTGGAGGGGTTGGTCATCCCTGACTGACCGATATTCTGACAGGAGACACTTACCATTGAGGGTGTTTCGCCACAGCAAGGACAAAGGTTAGGTGGATGTGGAGGGGTTGGTCATCCCTGACTGACCGATATTCTGACAGGAGACACTTACCATGGAGGGTGTTTCTCCACAGCCAGGACAGAGGTTGGGTGGATGTGGAGGGGGTGGTCATCTCTAACCGACCACTCTTCTGATAGGAGACACTTACCATGGAGGGGGTTTCTCAACAGCCAGGACAGAAGTTGGGTGGATGTGAAGGTGGTGGTCATCCCTGACTGACCGATATTCTCCAGAATAGTGGAGATATGCAGCATTGGCAAAGAAGCCTGTGGTGATACAGCGTCGTAGATTGTCGACGTTTTCTTAAAGCACACAAAAATATTATACATGTGAGTTAAGTTATAGAATAATACTCCTTGCTGGTGATGTAAAAAAGCCCCTAAAAATTTAGAAAAAGGGGAAGATCTTTTTGGGGTAACAGTTTTCAAGTTCACCAAAATACTGGATATTCCATTGGAATTCCACCTTCTGATTCCTGACATATAAGTCAAAATTTATCATTAATGAATTCACCTTTTCTACCTTCAAAATAAAACTGCGACAAAAGGCAAAGTGGTTACTGTTTGTAATACTCATAAACTTATAAGCCAGAAATGATATAAAATTCTGGGATACACATTTTTTTCTTAAGATTGTATTCCTGTTGAAAAATAAGTAAAGGGAGGTAAATTGGTTCTCTTGTATTAATCTTGAAGAGATCAGTAAGGAACTTCCCTGATGGTGAAATAATTAACAGTTTAATCCTCAGAACATTGAGGCAATGAGTTTATTGACAAAAGAAAATCCGACGAATCTTTGTTTCTCGCCAGCATCCTCATATTTCCAAATTAACATCCTCCCGGTGCCTCATTATCATCAACCATAAATGAAAATGTACCATCGTCCACAGCCAACTCTATTACTTAATGAAATACCATAAAAGCCGCATAACATTCTGAAAGTCAGCTAAATGCATTTCCTATTAAACAAGAATGTAACACAGACCCATCATTAATCTCCATAATGTTTATGTAATTAAAAGGTAGATAGGAAATAAGGCAGGACTTTATACTTTACTACAGGTAGAAAGGACTACACACTTTACTACAGGTATATAGGACTACATACTTTACTACAGGTAGATAGGACTACAAACTTTACTACAGGTAGACAGGATTACACACTTTACTACCGGTAGACAGGACTACATACTTTACTACAGGTAGACAGGACTACATACTTTACTGCAGGTAGACAAGACTATACACTTTACTACAGGTAGACAGGACTACACACTTTACTACAGGTAGACAGGACTACACACTTTACTACAGGTAGACAAGACTACACACTTTACTACAGGTAGACAGGACTACACACTTTACTGCAGGTAGACAAGACTATACACTTTACTACAGGTAGACAGGACTACACACTTTACTACAGGTAGACAGGACTACACACTTTACTACAGGTAGACAGGACTACACACTTTACTACAGGTAGACAGGACTACACACTTTACTACAGGTAGACAGGACTACACACTTTACTACAGGTAGACAGGACTATACACTTTACTACAGGTAGACAGGACTACACACTTTACTACAGGTAGACAGGACTACACACTTTACTACAGGTAGACAGGACTACACACTTTACTACAGGTAGACAGGACTACACACTTTACTACAGGTAGACAGGACTACACACTTTACTACAGGTAGACAGGACTACACACTTTACTACAGGTAGACAGGACTACACACTTTACTACAGGTAGACAGGACTACACACTTTACTACAGGTAGACAGGACTACACACTTTACTACAGGTAGACAGGACTACACACTTTACTACAGGTAGACAGGACTACACACTTTACTACAGGTAGACAGGACTACACACTTTACTACAGGTAGACAGGACTACACACTTTACTACAGGTAGACAGGACTACACACTTTACTACAGGTAGACAGGACTACACACTTTACTACAGGTAGACAGGACTACACACTTTACTACAGGTAGACAGGACTACACACTTTACTACAGGTAGACAGGACTACACACTTTACTACAGGTAGACAGGACTACACACTTTACTACAGGTAGACAGGACTACACACTTTACTACAGGTAGACAAGACTACACACTTTACTACAGGTAGACAGGACTACACACTTTACTACAGGTAGACAAGACTACATACTTTACTACAGGTACATAGGACTATACACTTAACTACAGGTAGACAGGACTACACACTTTACTACAGGTAAACAAGACTACACACTTTACTACAGGTAGACAGGACTACACACTTTACTACAGGTAGACAAGACTACACACTTTACTACAGGAAGATAGGACTATACACTTTACTACAGGTAGACATGACTATACACTTTACTACAGGTAGACAAGACTATACACTTTACTACAGGTAGACAGGGCTACATACTTTACTACAGGTACATAGGAATATACACTTTACTACAGGTAGACAGGACTATACACTTCACTACAGGTAGACAGGACTACATACTTTACTACAGGAAGATAGGACTACACACTTTACTTCAGGAAGATAGGACTACACACTTTACTACAGGTACACAGGACTACACACTTTACTACAGGTAGACAGGAATACAAGACTACACACTTTACTACAGGAAGATAGGACTACACCCTTTACTACAGGTACACAGGACCACCCACTTTACTACAGGTAGACAGGACTACACACTTTGCTACAGGTAGACAGGACTACACACTTTACTACAGGTACATAGGACTATACACTTTACTACAGGTACATAGGACTATACACTTTACTACAGGTAGACAGGACTATACACTTCACTACAGGTAGACAGGACTACATACTTTACTACCGTTATACAGGACTACACACTTTACTATAGGTAGACAGGACTACACACTCTACTACAGGTAGACAGGACTACACACTTTACTACATGAAGATAGGACTACACAGGACTACACACTTTACTACAGGTAGACAGGAATACAAGACTACACACTTTACTACAGGAAGATAGGACTACACACTTTACTACAGGTACACAGGACTACACACTTTACTACAGGTAGACAGGATTACACACTTTACTACAGGTAGACAGGACTACACACCTTACTACAGGAAGATAGGACTACACACTTTACTTCAGGAAGATAGGACTACACACTTTACTACAGGTAGACAAGACTATACACTTTACTACAGGTAGACAGGACTATACACTTTACTACAGGTAGACAAGACTATACACTTTACTACAGGTAGACAGGACTACACACTTTACTTCAGGAAGATAGGACTACACACTTTACTACAGGTAGACAAGACTATACACTTTACTACAGGTAGACAGGACTATACACTTCACTACAGGTAGACAGGACTACATACTTTACTACCGTTATACAGGACTACACACTTTACTATAGGTAGACAGGACTACACACTCTACTACAGGTAGACAGGACTACACACTTTACTACAAGTAGACAGGACTACACACTTTACTACAGGAAGATAGTACTACACACTTTACTACAGGTACACAGGACCACCCACTTTACTACAGGTAGACAGGACTACACACTTTACTACAAGTAGACAGGACTACACACTTTACTACAGGAAGATAGTACTACACACTTTACTACAGGTACACAGGACCACCCACTTTACTACAGGTAGACAGGACTACACACTTTACTACAGGAAGACAGGACTACATACTTTACTACAGGTAGACAGGACTATACACTTTACTATAGGTAGACAGGACTATACACTTTTCTATAGGTAGACAGGACTACCCACTTTACTACAGGTAGACAGGACTACACACTTTACTTCAGGAAGATAGGACTACACACTTTACTACAGGTAGACAGGACCTCACACTTTACTACAGGTAGACAGGACTATACACTTCACTACAGGTAGACAGGACTACATACTTTACTACCGTTATACAGGACTACACACTTTACTATAGGTAGACAGGACTACACACTCTACTACAGGTAGACAGGACTACACACTTTACTACAGGCAAACAAGACTACACACTTTACTACAGGTAGACAGGACTACAAACTTTACTACAGGTAGACAGGACTACACACTTTGCTACAGGTAGACAGGACTACACACTTTACTACAGGCAAACAAGACTACACACTTTACTACAGGTAGACAGGACTATACACTTCACTACAGGTAGACAGGACTACATACTTTACTACAGGAAGATAGGACTACACACTTTACTACAGGTAGACAAGACTATACACTTTACTACAGGTAGACAGGGCTACATACTTTACTACAGGTACATAGGAATATACACTTTACTACAGGTAGACAGGACTATACACTTCACTACAGGTAGACAGGACTACACACTTTACTACAGGTACACAGGACTACCCACTTTACTACAGGTAGACAGGACTACACACTTTACTCCAGGTAGACAGGACTACACACTTTACTACAGGTAGACAGGACTCCACACTTTACTACAGGTAGACAAGACTACACACTTTACTACAGGAAGATAGGACTATACACTTTACTACAGGTCGACATGACTATACACTTTACTACAGGTAGACAAGACTATACACTTTACTACAGGTAGACAGGGCTACATACTTTACTACAGGTACATAGGAATATACACTTTACTACAGGTAGACAGGACTATACACTTCACTACAGGTAGACAGGACTACACACTTTACTACAGGAAGATAGGACTACACACTTTACTACAGGTACACAGGACCACCCACTTTACTACAGGTAGACAGGACTATACACTTTACTACAGGTAGACAGGACTATACACTTCACTACAGGTAGACAGGACTACACACTTTACTACAGGTAGACAGGACTACACACTTTACTACAGGTAGACAGGACTACACACTTTACTACAGGGAGACAGATAATTGGCTTAAGTCAATATCGGGAGTTTTAAGTAATTAAAGAAGAATCTTGATTCTTCTTAAGCATTTTACCTATTACAGGCAATATGTTAACCTTTGACCCCAGCCAACATTTCAAGTTGACATTTGACCTAAACACAATTTATTAGGAAAAGATTCACACTACTGGTCTACATTTTAAATCCAGGTGTCATTGCACTAGACCTTCTGGTACTTCAGAAAATGTTACTTTAAATGTTTAAGGACCCTGTGACCTTGAATGTAGGTCAAGGTAATTTTTATGAGGAACATTATAACACTCCCTCCCATGTACC